TGTATGTGTGTCTCTCATATCCCAAAATTCACATTAGGACTTGTAACGTTACGATAGCAATGAGTTTAGTAACCAGAAAAAATTTGGCAAAAAATATCAAAAATTTCCCCTTTTTTCAAAACTTTAACCGCAATGCTCAAGCAGAAGACATATTTTTTATACAAACTTTTTTTTATTTTGCATAGTTAGCTTCTGAGCTAAGATCTTAGCTTTTTCACAAAGAATCGGACCCGAGATTGGGTTTCCCACAGAAAACCGCTTGAAAACGACATCTTCTGAATTTTTGTTGTTTCTCCCTTAATTGATTTTCTTGAACATCCATCTTCGTTTTCAAACAGTGACACCAAGTTTAAAAGTGTAAGTTTGCTCCTCTTAATGTATGAAATCTTTGATTGTCCAACACTACTTTTCTATCTTAACTGTTTTCTTGAATTTTGAAGGCGATTCGGATAATCAGCGATTCGGATAGTCCAAATCACTCGGATAATTGGAGTTTTCGGATAATTAGAGTTGTACTGTATTTATAACATTATACTGCATATAGATCAATCAATTTTACTCCATGGATATTAAAAGCCTCTAATATATAAATCAATTAATTGTCCAGCGTTTGCTGTTCCTTAAAGATGTGCAGTTTTAATAGCTACATGTGCGTACCAACTTAAAAAGATAAGGTACCTCGTCTCCGTTTTCTTTCATTCACTATAAAAATATGTCATCTCATTCATAAATGAAGAAAGAAATACCAAGAAGTTATCGTCAGATACAGCGGTATCCATTCATGTTCTCTGCGCAATTCTTCCAACTTGCGAAAGAATAACATCTCCATCCCAAGGGCGGAAGTGATAGCGCCGGTTACACTAAGGCTTAATCTTGAACTTATTTCTTAAGTTTATCTGTTTGTCGAATTCTCAATAGGTCATTCATATCCGTGTTCAATAACATTTGTTTACGATCTCTCGACTTCTGAAACGACAGAATCGCACTTCTTGATACGAACATTACGATTGGAATGAGATAATACCACGGGAAAATAAAAGGGAGACACCTTTTTTTATTTATAAATTTTCAAAAATCAATTTTTTTGAGTCTTAGCTAAAGATAACACACGAGTGTGACTCTTTATCTTTCATAAACTCTTCTGGAACTCAAAATTGTTTAAATACATGAAAGAGGGCGATGCGATAATCTGATTTTAAAACCTTTCGTAAAACAGGAATTTTTTTCTCCTCTTTAGATTTATCTCTTATCTTTCCTTTAACGATACAGAATTGAGGCGATTGCTATTTCTTAATTTCTTTCTTGGTATATTGCATAATGCTTATAAAGCAGTAATTGATGAACTAATTTGTCTTATAATCTACTTCCATGTTTCATGTTGTCCTATCACTCATGAACCGTGTCAACAGCCAAAAATCACATACTGAATAGCGTGAGTAAATATTTGATTATTATCTCATAAACACGAAAAGGTTTATTTCTAGAAAGCCCAGATTATTGATAGAAGCAAAGTTGCACAATAAATAAGGAAACCAGTTGTTTTACACATGCTAAGGCTGAAACTCATTACATACCCTTGATTACATATCTTGAACTTAAAGCTATAATAAAAGGAGCTCGGCGTTCCTAAAGAGATGGCTTCTCGAAAGTCGTCAAAATTGTTCAGTTTATAAGGTATTTCTCCCGCCTATTTAGCATCCCTTCGTTGTGTAGTGGTCAGCACGCTCGACGCGTAGTCGAGAGGTCCATGGTTCCAGTCCCGGCGAGAGCATTGCTCATTTTACATGCCTCCTGCTTCCAAATAACCTAATGCCTCTACAGTGGCACCCGAACTAAAAAAGGTGGTGGATATGATTCTCCACCACCGGGATTGGGCGACTGAATCCCCTAATCCCCAGTCGCCCCTTAAAAGGGGGAGTATATAAGTTATTTCTCCCGCCTGTTTAGCATGCCTTCATGGTGTAGTGATCAGCACGCTCAACGCGTATTCGAGAGGTCTTGGATTCGAGCTAGGAGACATGAAAATTGCTCATTTTTCATGTCTCCTACTTACAAACAACCCAATGACTCTATAAGTTCTTATAGCAAATTTCTGAGAAATTCATTTATCCACTTCTTAGAACAAAATCGTAGACGTCTTCGTCACCATCCCCCATTTTTCCGTTACCGTCTTTTTGTTGTCCTCCTTCCTTGTTCTGTTCGAGCTTCCGCTTCTCTCTTTTCCTCTCATCAAAACTCACCAGAGGCCGAGCGGTAAAGTCGCCGAACACTGGTAGTTCGGTCCGAGGTTCGAATCCTGCGAACGGCCTGGCTGGGCGTTTTGTGGCTTTTCTCATGTGCAACGTGTACATGAGACATTTCCCCTCAAAAAGTCCTCCACGAAGGCAATCCTTAACTTGCGCAAACAGCCCTCAAGTGATTTGTAGTAATCAAATAAAACCCCGGAAAATATCCAAGGAATCGTCAAAACGTTCATTATAACATTAATTATAACATTAATTCATTAATCTGTCCTCTTGTTTAACCTTCTATGTAAATGTTTTATTTAAATATATAAACAAAAGTATTAAGATATGTATATGTTTAATCCTTTTGTTTATATGTTTCTAAAACATTTACTGAATAATCAGTTGTCCAGATGATGAAAAATAATGGAAGAAGTATATAGAATGTAGCATCTTATGTCTGTTTTAGCTTTATTCCAGTTTTAACTAGTAACACTTCTGAAGATGTAATCTTAAATTCCATATTTCTCTTTTCTGCCTTTTAGTCTCTCTTAGCAGATATTAAGTGGATGGTCAGATATTAAATGCTTCCATACAGCAAAATAGTGCAGTCGTAAACCATTCAGGGTTCAGCTATGAACTCAGATAAAACGCAAAATGAGGCTGATTGATGGAGCCTAGTTATAAAGGTGTTCCCATCCTTATGAAATCCAAAAAGGCAGAAAACGTCATAAGGATGCCCCAACAGCATAATTCTTGAGAGCACGTTGGTATCGCTAAAGAACTTCTGAAAAGGATAAGTCAGCTTTCAGAAGTATCTTTTATTTTGGTTCATTTTACGTTAGCAGCCCATTTTCTTCTACAAACTAATTAAAGCATAGTAAATTTTTGGATAAAATTTCTATCCTAAATTGGATCATATATAAGCAAATGCTAAGATTTCGCTGGTTGAAAGAATTTGAAAAGAATACAAGTACATGCTAGATACCGCGAATAACTATAAAACATGCTAGATACCGCGAAATAAAACATAAGCTTTCAAAGCCTCGATGTCAAAAAGGCAGAAAACCTAGTAATCCTCACTCGAAGCCCTTGCCTTGATAACATACCGATGCGCACTTTAGAATGATGCACCTTGGCATCATTCTAAAGTAAAACTTACGCATATGCAGAAAATGGAAATATTTTGCCCTACTTCGTTAGCGCTTCAATTTCCAACAGCCATCAATAAAGCGTATAGGAAGCTTTTATTTACTCTTCAGTGCTTTCGAAACGGCTCGATAATTCCAACGTCCGGCGATTAGACTCCAAGGCTGCGGTAGATTAGAAAATGGGGCCCAGAACCGATGCTGAATAGTATCAGCAGCCTTTCTGCTATCACAAAGGTAGCTTAAAATATGGTTTCAACTTTATAAGAGTGTTGGTGGCGATTCTGTGCAAGTATCCTAAAATAATAATACTTTAATCAAATTCCTTCCCCCTTGATTATGTGCTGAGCTAATTATAATCCTTTGTTACATTGCAATCTATCCTTGGCATCCTTGACTACATCGACAACGGCATCGAATCAACTCAAGCTGAGTTGATTCCATGCCATTGTGGATCCTTTTCTTGTGACAACTCTGTGAAGCTGACAAATTTTCATTAATCCCCTTCACTCATTATTACATTATCGTCAAACGTTATGTTTTATCGTGGCCATGCTACGTTAATAAACTAGTGGCTATCCTGCGCGCACTATTGTCCTATGTCTGCTTGTTCTATGCAGTGTCGGTCTTATAAATCTAATCCGCAAATTGATTTCTTTGTTGTGTTCCCTAAGCTATGGTGAGATGATATGTGGAGTTTAGTTCGCAGTATCTTTCGCCTGAAACTCAGAAGGCTTGGTTTATTTAATTATGGCACAAGCACGCAAGGGCTATCTACTACCAAATGGGAGGGACACCTTCGTGGAGGATTTAAACTGACTCGTACACACGTTACACATGGGGGAAAATACAAAAACGCTCATACAGCCAGCCCGCTCACCTGGAGTTGAACCCAGGTTGGAGCTAGTAGTGTTCAGCGACTTTACCGCTTGGCCATTGATGGACTGAAACTTATAAGAGAAGAGATTCATCGGAAGAGATTTTTTTGTGCCTTGGCTGTATATAGTTTGTGAAAATGTTCGACATTATCATTATTATGATATTACCTTTCAAAATGAACTGCCATCAGAAATAAATGCACAACGATCTCGTCAGATTCTGAATTGAAATAAATAACTTTTGTATTTTAAATTAACGCCGATGTAATCATGAACTTCGTATAACTGAAAATTTTAAATTTATTCACAAGCATTTTAAAATGCAGGTTTTCACAAACTTAAAAATAGAGCAATTTGCGAGTAAAGAATAGTTTCCAAAAAACGAAGGAAAACAGAAAGAACCAAAAAATTAATTTGATCTCATATAATGAAATTTTATTTCGTCTAATTAATTCCTTCTGTAAGTGAAGTACCTAGCTAATTAACCATAAAGTTCAGAATTAAACTTTTCTCTCAGTTTCACTAATAGCTTTTATGATTAGTTACTTCTTTACTTGAAATATATTTAGTCAAAATTTTAATTTTCAAAAATCAAAAATATCATATGGATTCCATTTATTATAATATCATAGCATTGGCAATTTCCATTTGGAAATCTGTTGTTTTTAATGTATAAAATGCTAGTTTTGGACTATATTATGCATCTATTTAAACTATGCAAACTAAACTCTTTTTTTTTCTTCTTGCAGGTTAATGACAATGGCTTGCTTTCCTTTCTTACAGAGGTACCTTCGTTTTTTAATGCGCAGTTTCCTCTAACTTATCCGATCATAGCACCTTTGTATTCAGACGTTGATACAAGAGCAGCCGGGAGGATTTACTACAGGTATGTACTAACGAAATAGCCCTAAAATAAGGCAGTAAAATCTGATACCTTTTAACTATTTCATATACATTCGGCACGAGCAGAGCTGAGTTAACTATTAGGTAAAATAAGCAAGTTTTTAAGGCGTCAAGAAAAGAGTGCACCACGAAAAGGGTGCTTAGGATCTCAGGGAAAGAGGGCACCACAAGATTTCTCATTGCTGGTTTTACCATGGATGGTGCAGATAAACAAGACCTGGAGAGAAGGAATGAGAAAACATCTAGCGTAAATGCTTTTAAGTATACTAAAGTTTTTCAAGTGCTCGGGGTTTCTAAAATCTTAACGAAATCAAGTCCGAGGTGCATAAGATATTTGATTAATATCTTGTGTTGAAATAAAAAGGAAAGGTACAGATCGATACCGGTGAAAGATACAGGGCTACAGGTTACGGAGGACGGGGACGCCTGGTGCTTAACATAGGTAAACAGGCGTATGTCCCGCGCCCTCCACTATCTAGAAACAACTCCCTGGAGCCCCGGGAGGCTGCACCGGGAGTTCATTAGGATCTTAAATAAATTTGTTACATGGCCATACAGGGGCTATAACTAATGTAAGACATTGTGTGGGAACGTAGTGCATATGTTATATATCAAAATTACAAACAGCAGTTACATAAAACACATTAATATACACATAAAAATTAATTAAAAATATGACATGGAACACATAATGCACAAATTACACACACACACACACACACACACACAAAAAAAAAAAAAAAAAAAAAACCACAAAGAGAGGGGGGGAAACATATTATCACATATAAACAAAGACCATTAAAAATTCAATAGACATAATGCGCTTTGCATAATGCAATACGGGAATGCGTTTAAGTGATATGTAACAAATTGATATGCATATAGTACGGGTTACTTATGTTAAAGGTTGTGCAGTATGCAAGTACATAATTTATGCGAAATGCATAGTACAAAAGAGAAAATTAAATACATGCAGAGTACATGGTGTACATAATACAGATTGCAAGTACATAATGCAGATAATACAGATAAACAACATACAAACAGAATACATAGTACTTTGTGCGTAGGACAATACTGTTACATGATACGTGGGATTACTTAAACTAATTAATATACTATACATGATACATATCTTATGGAGGTGCATAATGCGCAATACAAATAAACTACATACATACAGGATACATAGTGCACTGTGAGTAGGACAATACTGGTACATAATACTTAGGATTATTTAATACTGATTAATATACCATACACAGTACTGATTGTTATGGAGATATTACGCTTAATTTGATATGCAGATAGTGATTGACATAGATTATGCACAGTGCATAATGCAGATTGTTAAACATAATACAGATCTTACATAACACATGATACAGATCGCAGCTACATTATAGTCACCTACACTGTGTGTGATATAGGTACATTCTTCATAATACAAATTGCGGTTTATGCACGTTACATAATACAGATTGTTATATAATTAATATGCTTAATTTGAAATGCAGATATTGATTGACTTATATGGTATGTATACCGGATCAATTGCATGTACTACAAATTGGATATACGTTTGGATCGCATATGTTGCAGTTGCAACTTGATACGCAATTGGTACATTATACATAATACAGATTGCAAGTACATAATACAGTTACATAATGCATACAAGTACGTAGTACAGATTATACATAAAGCAGAATACAGATTATACACAATACATTACAGGCACCTGAATCATACACAGTACAAGTACATATTACATAATATAGATTGCAGATTATACATAAAATACAGATTGCAAGTACATAATACTGGTACGTAATGCATACAGGTACATAGTACAGATTATACATAAAACATAATACAAATTGCAGATTCTATACAATACATTACGGGCATTTGAATTACACACAATACAGTACATATTACATAATATAGATTGCTGATTATACATAAAACATAGTACAGTTGTGATGGAAATAAACGCTTAATTTGTAATGCAGATTAATTGACATATATGTATGTATACATAAACTAATGCAGGTACTACATATTAGATGTACTTTGGTACATTAGTTGCAGTTGCATAAAGATACATAATGCAGGTTGCAGATTATACACTGTACATAATGCAGATTGTCGTACACATTACAGTTTAGACATAATACTTAATATAGTTTGCAGATTATACACAATACATTATAGGCAATTGAATTACATATAGTACGGGTACATAATACAAATTGGAGATTATACATAATACATAATACAGATTGTGATGGAATTAATTCGCTTAATTTGAAATGTAGATAGTAGTTGACACATATGATATGTGTATTTCATCTAATGCATATACTTCAGATTGTACATTTGAGTCACATATGTGCAGTTGCAAAGAGATTTGCAATATGAGACGCGATTGGTACAAAATACATAATACGGATTTCAAGTACATAATACATGTATATAAGGCGTACTGGTACATAATACACGTACGTAATACGTAGTGCAGGTTGCTGATTATACACGACACATAATACAGATTATACATAATACAGTTTGCAGATTATACATAATACATTACAGGCACTTGAATTACGCATAGTTCTGGTACGTAATACATATTACTGATTGGAAATTATACAATATAATACTTAATACAGATTGTTATAGAAGTAATACGCTCACTTTGTAGTGCAGATAGTGATTGGCATATAGTATATGTATATTTGTACTATTGCATGTATTACAAATTCGACATACATTTGAGTCACATATGTTGCAGATACATAGAGATTTGCAATTTGGTACACAGCTGATCTATAGATTGCTAATGTGAAGAAATACTTTTAGTTGAGTACGTAAGATTTGGTACGGAAGGAGATAAGTAAGTATTACTTATCTATTAAGTGGCCTGACATATGTCTTGACCCAATGCCGTTATTTTATCTATAACTTTGCAGATCTTATTGATGGAAGGCTTGTTTTGTATTATGAACCGATGATATGGCTCGGAATTGCTTACAGATATGGGCAGATGGTGATTGACTGTAAGCGGGCAAGTAAAAATGTAGTGATCCGGTGTCCCGTCTTCACCACAGACACATATATCCGTGTTTGTGATACGGTGACGGTGAAAATATGACGGAAACGGTCCATGCTCTGTGATAAAATTAACTAGTGGTGGGATGGCTATAAGCCGATTTGTGGTTACTTTAGGAAGATATTTGTATGTTCTTCTTCCAGTATCTGCAGCATCCCATTCTGTCTGCCATTTACGGATTGCCATACGGGTAAGTTGGCTCTTAAGATAGGAGGGAGGTGCTGGTATGGTCAGAGGTTGGGCATTAATGTTACTGGCTGCCTCTTTAGCTAAGGAGTCTGCTGCTTCATTGCCGCTGTTGCCGGTGGGAGCTTTTGCCCAGACAAGTTGGATGTAGGTGTCCGGGTATTGCTGAAGCAGCGACTGAAGTTTGATTACATTTGGAGAAGTATGGCTGTGTGTGTGGTTATCTATGGCATAAAGCGCCGACAGGCTATCTGTGAAAATTGTGGCACTTTTCAAGTTAAGGTTATTAGCGTGTTGTACAGCCGCTGTAATAGCTGTGACTTCAGCTTGAAATACGCTGTTGTGAGGACTGAGATGTCCCCTCCAGACGTATTCCGTGGCTTGTTCCTCCAGATGAATGAAGGCACAGCCGACGCCGAGTTCATGTTTGGAGCCGTCCGTAAAAATTTAAGTACGAATGTTCCGAGTGGGCTCCGTTGTTCTTGATGGTTCTAATGCCAGCACCTTTTATAGCTGGATGTGTGTGCAGAACATCTCCGCGATGTTCATATTGAGCAGGACTATAGAGAGTGCCTTCAAATGTGGCTTCGCGCTTCAGGTGTGTAACCTGAGCGTACATGGCCTCCATTTGTGTCTTGATGTGGAGAGGTAGTATGCCACTTAGCACGTGAGTGAAGCTCGTTGCCGTGGTCCTATATGATTTGCATATGTTAATTAAGAAAGGGCGCTGCAGTGCTGCTAGCTGTCTCGTTAATCTGCTTCCTATGGTTTTTACCCAAATTGACGCTGCGTAGAGCGCTATTTTTTCGACTACTATGGAGTACAGCAGTTTGGTAATGTGCGGGTTTTGACCCAGTTCCTACCTTGGAACTGTCTTGCTGTTTTTTTAATTTGGGCCGTTTCAACTCGCTGTGCTTGTATATGTAGTACCCAAGTTAGACCTGGATCCCACACAACTCCAAGGTACTTCAATTGATTGAACAAATTTTAAGTTGCCTTCTCCTATCTTTATACAGGGTTTTCTGGAAGGGTTTTTCCTGGGCTTTGGTATTAGTAAAGCACATGATTTTCTTTTGAGATATCAGTTTGAGTTTTTAAGTTTACATTGGGATATGAAAATTTCACACGCTTCAGTGCCGCGATGTTCTATTTCCTCCCTGGTGCGGCCTTGGACCAATAAACAAGCGTCGTCGGCGTAAGCGACGATATGTGTGTAGCTGGGCCAGTTTGCTTCCAGTAGGGCATTAAACGTAACATTCCATAGCAGGGGCCCTGCACAGGAGCCTTGTGGGCAGCCACGCATTTGTGCTTTGGTGACGGTGCCCGCTTCAGTTGAGATTAGTAGTTCTCTATCTTGAAGATAGTTGGATAAGGTGAGGAATAGGTTCAAAGGGCAATTGGCTTTTCTCAGAGCTTCTTTAATCGCCAGCCACCACAAGGTGTCAAAGGCGCTGGCCAGGTCGATCGAAATGGACGCCGTGTGTAAATTGGCTTCTCTATTTTTGTTGATGTACTGGAGTATGTCCATGAGAGCATGGGTAGTTGAAGATCCAATGCGAAAGCCGTATTGCCTTTCACTTAGAAAATTAGTCAAGTGCAGGTGGTGCCGCAGACGATTGACCAGCAATTTCTCATATGCTTTACCTAGCGCGGACAGGAGGCATATAGGCCGAAAAGATCTTGGGTCGGCCGGGTTCTTAAATTTCTTCAAGAAAAGCACAACCTGTCCTTGCTTGAACGCTCTCGGGAAGAGATGCATGCTGAAGAGCTTATTGAAGTATTTGATGAAGAATACAGGTCTTGCTCTGTATGCAGTTTTGACAATAGAGTAGTCAAGGCCGTCGGGGCACCACCTGTACTAGGTTTGAAGCTGTGACGTTGGTACGCATGCGTTGTTGGTCTATTGTGTCCGTACTAGGATCGTCATCTGGGAAAGATCATATTAAGAATGGTTGTAGCAGTGGCTGTAGCAAAGCAAGTGGTGCTGGGCGCTAAAGGTTGCACGTGCATTTGAGATGGCTTATATATCTTTTGGGAAGCTATTTTGTGTAGGATGTCATATGGGTTTGCGTTGCCTGTACAGAAGGCACGCCAACTGGCGACTTTCGCTGTGAGTATATTTCTCTTGTAATGGGCACGTTCTTTCCTAAATAGTGCAAGGACATGTTTTAGTGTCCTCATCTGTGGTAGATCGAAGTTTTCTGCGTAGAGCTCGACACTTCTGTTTTGTTGCCGTAGGGAACTCGTCCACCACGAGATATCCTGCAGTTTTTTGGTCGATTTGTGGGTTAAAACCTGATGGCAGGCATCCTTCAGTGCGTCCAGGAGGTTCGTTGTTGTGAATGCGTCTAGATCATGCGGGTTGTCACAGCTATGCAGGTCTGACTCCTTTTTTTGTAGGACATGAGAAAACCTTAGCGTTATTTGCCTAATTTTATTTTTCGGCAGTTTGAAACGTTGCAGGATTGTAATGCTGGTGTCAATTTGTATATTAAACATTATGAATTTATGATCAGACCCACTTTCTGAATCTGACACATGCCAGTCATGTTAGCTGTCGAGAACGTCAGGTCTGGCCAACCGTGATGGTACGTGTTGTCATAGGTTGGGATTGCTTCATTGTTGTTATGTAACTGAAGGTTGTTGACTGCCAAGAAGTCCTCCAAGACCTGCCCTTTAGAGTTGGTGGATGTGTATCCCCAGATGACGCTGTGAGCGTTAAAGTCTCCACCAAAGACTTGCTCCACTGTGGGGTAACGTCTTTTTACCTCATTATAGATGCTTGTGTGTTGTCAATCGTGTCTGTTGGAGGAGGTAGGCTGATGTGATGATAATAAGCCTTGTTCCGGAACGTGATGAGGATAGCAACATAGTCTCGATGTAGGTGTACAACTTGCGGTGCCCAGGCCGGGTTGCAGCAAACTATAGCTGCTCTGGGCGCCAGTGCTGCATTTGCATCTTCCTTTTGGTATATCTTCCAGGCAATGGGTATGCTGGATACATGTCCGTTTCGACAGTACGGCTCTTGAATTAGTATTATGTCAATGTCTTCTGAGGTTGCATACTGTACTAGGTTGGAGGTGGCCGCTTGTGCTCGCTGTAAATTTACCTGGAGAACTTTTATGTACATTCTACTAGTTGCTTCTGTTGTTGTATCAGATCTGTCCGTCATGGATCCTGATGAGGCGTTGTCTGCTGCTGCGCAACTATTCCTGTCTATGGGTATGTTGCTACTCGTAGATAGTGTTTCTTTGGATGCGTTGGACATACTTTGCGTACATTGGGCAGGTAACTTCATAGGCGGCGTGGTTGCAGGCTGTTGTTTCATGAGACCGGTAGTTGTTGTCGGCGCAATTGATGCACATGGGGCGCCGCGCTTGGCAGGCTTTGATGTTATGATTGCCGGAACAATAAGCGCAGTAGGTCCTGTTTTTGCATGTTCGTTGAGTGTGGCCGAAGGCTTGACATCTGAAACAGCGTATGGTGTTGTAGAATTCAGTGATTCTGTGGCTTCTCCAGCCCAGGTACAATTTGCGAGCTTTGGTGAGCGTTCTGTAGGCATGTGGGGAGCATTCCACGATCCACTTGACTCCATACTGTCTTTCTGTAAGGCGGTATTGGATTTGGACATCTGTGCTGTTAAGATGGAATTCCGATTTTATTGCCTTTTCGACTTCTTCTTTTGTATTTTCCAGTGGTATATTATGGCAACCTTTGGCAATCTAGTTTGTGGAAGCTTAGTTTGCAGGAAGTCTTGTCCTTTGGGTCCTTGAAACGCTGTAGAGAGCTTTGCAACGTCTTCCTTAGAGTAACAGTCTACTGCGAGACCTTCCTTTGGAATGTAGCACACAGCTGCTACCTTGACTCCTAAAGATGATAAGGGGAAGTCGGTACTTAGTTTTGCTTTTAGATCCTTTCGCTTGGTGTTGGTAAGATCCTTTGGATATACGAGAAGCGTGTGCTTTGCTGCCTTGGCTGTGACACTCGCGTACGTGAGTGGTTGTGATCTTTTGGTTGCTGATGTGATGATGGTGTCAGCGACGTGCTTGTGAGAAGATGTGATTTCACACTTTAGGAGACTCGATGTATTGACCGCCGGCGAAAGATACAGGTGTTTCAGCACAGCTGTTACAAACTCTCAGGAGAGACAATGGAAAATCACATAGCAATGCATGGTCGCAAACGCGCAGTAGTGACGACACAGAACACTGGAAAGGAACACAAACAGGATGAGAAAATATTTATTACACTTATTGCAGCAAAAATGTCGGAATCTTACACACATTACAGCCTTGACTTGTGTCTCCCCGTGAATGCAACATACATTAATTCGGCAGGGATGGCCCGGTACACTGGCCAGCAAGATCGCTGAACTTCACCTACATTGACTACTTCCTCTGGGGGGTATGTCAAGACCCTAGTATACGAAACCCCGTTACTAGTGCTAAAGAACTTGCTGCATTCATCGTACAACTACTAAAGAAGTCCGGGACATGTCCGGTATTTTCCAGAACATCGGAACTTTCATGCACCAGAGGTTTGAGGCTTGCATCATGGTAGGGGGTTGTAATTTCGAACACTTTCTTTGACGTCTGTTTTGTTCTTATTTCTTGGTTTTTGCTGTACTAAGCATAATAAACATGTTTTCTCACTTTATTTATGTCCTTCCTTTCTTGTGTTTTGTGCTGTTACTGCGCGCGCCAGGAAAGCGCTTCCAACCATGCATTGCTAGGTGATTTTCCATCGTCTAGGTGCACTTATCTCTCCTGAAAATTTGTAACCTCTATGATGAAACACCCCGTAAATTTATTGTCCATGTGTGTTTTCTTTGAATGTCTGGAGGATTGTTAGTAAAGAAGAAAGATAACACACAGTTCATCTCACTCTGTATTCGTGCTACGCCCAATACTTCAGAGTTTCCGATTACATCCTTTGTTTATTCGTTCACCTTGTAGAGACATCGGGGGTTTTTTTGAAGCAGTTAAAGTGAAAAATCAGCAATGTCCTCACAGGGACTCGAACCACGAAACTCTCGACCGAGGGTGCTGACCATTACACCACGAAGGCATGCTAAGAAGAGCGAGAGAAATACCTTATATACTCACCCTTTTAAGCAGAAGAGAAAAATCAGCAGTGACCTCACCGGAACTCGAACCACGGACCTTTCGAATACGCGCCGAGAGTGCTGACCATTACACCACAAAGGCATGCTAAGAAGGCGGAAGAAATACTTTATAACATTATCTAATCTTTTAAATCATCTTAAGTTTTCCCAAAAATCTCTAAACGCAATGCATCCTTTTTTTAAACATTTGTTTAGCTTTCTCCTCGCCGACGAGCTCTTCTATGATAATCAGAAGTTATGAATTCCATTTTGGGAGACATTTCGAGTATAATTAGAGCATAATAACAGCGAGATTTTGTTTTTTTTATATATCTAGAATAGCCTCTATTCTTATTTCCGTACTCCTTGTTTTTTTTATTTTTTTTTTTATTTTTATTTTTTTTTTATTTTTTTTTTTTTTTTTATATATAACAGAATGTTTTCTAAGATGAGTGCACTGATTTTCTGCGTGATGGTATTATTTCTTTTCAGTTTAAAAGTAAAAAAAATATGAAGATTTGAAAATGCAATTGATATAGAGCTTCAGTTTCCTCGAAAACACAATTTGAAACTTTACCTTAGAGATCATCAACGTATTATTCAAAATTTCAAATTATTTTATTTTTTTATGTCAAAGCACTTGAGAGCTATCGGCTTATGGAGAGGGGTGCCATCTGGAAGGTATTTCGGGAAACTGACTCATATTCATGTTAAACGTGAGGAAAACCTTGAAGACATTCATGCAGCGTTTCCATTCATCAGGATTCACACAAATAGTGCAAAACGTTCCAAGAATATCCAAATATATGTGTTTGTCAGTGTGTTATATTCATTGTCATCATTAATCTAACTTTTTGCCAAAAAAGGATTTACACCACGTTAAAAAAAGAGGCTCAGGCTAAAAGGAAATGGAGCATGATCTGGTTAAAGTAGTGTACTTTGCTTCTGGTTATTTTTTTTTAATTCTAGGATACTTATTTTTTGTTTACATGCCTGAAAACGTGTTATGAATGAGCAGATTATATTAGCAGAATGTTACCAAACCTAAAATAAATATGAAGCGTATTTTTTATTGGCAAGTCTAAGCTGTGTTGAGGGATTATCTGTAGTTTCCATCTTCATCAACGCAACTGCTTAGACGCTTGGGAAAAAACAAATTTATTACTATATAACCTGAACATGTACATCAAAATTCATAGTCCAGTTCGTTAGAATATGCAAATGAAATCTCTTGTTCTGACTAGAGATATGTTAATAAGATGATTTTCTTACAGCAGCATTTTATTTAAAACAAATCTGGGACTACATATCGGTCAACACAGTTTGCAAAAAAACATATAGTGTAACACAGTGAAGTCAAAAATATGTCCTGATTTCAAGCTAGATAATTTTTTCCCCTGATGATTTCTGTTCAGGCTATTTTGTCTCACATTTTCTTCCTATTGCTAATATCAACAGTTAGCCATTTGTTGAAGAGAAATATGATACTATAAAATATATTTAAACCTAAAATTATGAATTTTCTTTTAGGGAAACTCAATCTTCCGAACTTCTGGAAAGAGCAACGCGAGATATTAGAGATCACTTTTCGAGTGCTGGAGGTTTTCAACCTCGAAGTCTTTTTATAGCCACCTGGGACGAAGTGGGCCACTACGAAAGAGGAGTAACTAAAGTAAACTTCCCCCTTACACAATTTTTTATATTTTAACGATAGTTAACTGAAGTTATTGTACTAATACTTCAATGTATTTAAACTAATTCTTTAATGTATTTTTGACCCCTAGACTTATATAAATTCTCGCTAGTAAAGTGCACAAAAGCTGCAACTTTACAAATAAAACTACTATCATAAAGGTTGGAGACGTGTGTGCAAATGACAAAGCAGTTGAGCTGCAAGTGGGTAACATTGACTATAAGTTTCTTTTAAGTCATGGTGAAGAGTTTACTAATGAGGTCCTTATTCAGCTAAAGCCTTTCGATATCTTGATGAAACACTGTACTAGTTCAAACGCCAACTCCAGACATTCAGAAATTTTCAACAAAAGGAAACCTCAGATAGTTCATTGTGCCATGACAATACAATGATTGACATGGTGCTATCATGGCACAGTTGCTAGTGTTATGTCAGTCACGGCTGTGTAATGCCATTGTAGGCCACGGCACTATCATAGCATCATGGTATTGGTTTCCCAATGGCATGACTGTACAGCAGATGTTAAGGCTACAAAATTATTTTATAATAAAGAGAATTTTATGAAAAAACATAGTGAAAAATTTGAACATGTTTCTTTTTTCATAAAAAAAGGTAAAAAATTTGGACTTCAAAACGAAACCTCCTGCAAACATTCAAAAGCTCCGACATGATTGTAGATCTACTCACCAAACCACTAGGCAAGCCTGTGTTCGAGAAACTTCGAGAATCGCTGCAAATGGCGATGTTACCCATCACGTAGGGGTGTTGGTATGCAACTAGTGATGGTCTGCCGCCAATAGCACCATAAACGGTATGATCTGGACAACCTGCAAAGGAGTTAACTGTGTAACTCGCTTATTCTTTACTCTCTTCTTTACTCACTCCTTCAGGAAAGGATAGTGATATTTATTTTTACTTTCTATTTTATAACTCCCCTTTCGATATGTATTTAAATGCTAACAAATCTTAATCTATTTTCATGTAAATAAAATGTGTTTCACTTACAATTTCCGTCTACAACCTCTTTTTTTGATTATAAGTTAATTAGGTATGATCTCGTATTTTATTCTCTACTTTGATTAATTTGTTGTGAAATTTCGAGGCTACAAAAAAGTTTTACAACATAAACTAAATTCGATCTTACAATGAGCCTGACGAACTCTCGCACAGGCGTGAATAAATACCAGCACAGAAGAAGGGTGAAAGTAATCCTTTATTAAATTCAAATAGTTAACAGAAAGGTACGATCTTCGTGCGTGACAATGGCACCGTCAACTTGCGGTGAAACTAAAAACGTAGAATATAATTCAAGTCAAAAATCTACAATACGTAGTGCTGGATTAGCACGTAAGTTAAGCCTAACAGGTTGACAGGCGTGATGATAATCCGAAATGACCGTAACAGGGAAACAACAATGAAACGTACGCTGGCTATCGAAAACACGCTCTGAATAAACTCAGAGTTTCATCCGTTTAAATATGCACTTCACTTAACTTTCAATTTACATCCTGGCGAGAGAATGTGTGGTGGTGTATTTAATTATGGCAAAGCACACGAGGGCTAACTGCCTAACGGGAGGGATGCCTTCGTGGAGGACTTTCTAAGGGAAACTGGCTCGTATACACGTTACACATGGGGAAAACCACGAAAACACACATGCAGCCAGCCCGTTCGCGGGATTCGAACCTCGGACCGAACTACCAGTGTTTAGCGACTTTACCGCTCGGCCGTTGGTGGGCTGGCGAGAGAATGTGAGGGGGAGTTGAGAAGTTCAGTAACGCTATCAAACTTAAAATAGATTTGTTAGGCAAAATAAGGTAAACCCTTCATGCTTACATAAAAATAATTATATATTTTATTAAGAATATTATACAGTGCTAATCTGAATAAAAGCCTTAGTTCATTATATCAAGAAGAATATTTAAATCTGAGTTTCATTTAAGGTTGTTGAATGTTCAAAACTCAACGCAACATTGTTTGATTTCAAATTCTTGGTATTTTAATTAAAGCTGCCATAAAGCAATAAAACATAAGCACTAAATATAAAAAAAAAAAAAAAAAAAAAAAAAAAATTAAGACAAAAAAAAAAAAAACAAAAAAAAAAAAAAAAAAAAAAAAAAAAAAAAAAAAAAAAAAAAAAAAAAAAAAAAAAAAACAAAAAAAAAAAAAAAAAAAAAAAAAAAAAAAAAAACAACTTCTGGTGTTTAATCATATAACTGAAGTAAGCAGACTTTCTAAAAATTTATGATAATTTTTTCCCCATAGCTGAATACATTTCAAGTGGTTATAGCTTCTGACGGTGATGATTCCTACGCTTATTTCTTGTACCCATCCGGAGGTGTGCAGTGGATTCAAGGACAAGGAAAGAATCCAAATTTACCCGACGCCCGAGCACAAGCTGGATTTATGTCGGGCGATGGCAGGCTTTATACCCTTAGAGGTTCTGGAACTGAACAAGCTCGGAATTTCGACAGGTAAAATAGCTTAAAATTTTAAAATTAGGCAAGAATGCAACTTTAGGTTTGCGTAGATTCCCTGTCAGTTTCGAGGGCATCAGACATAAGTTACTCTTCTTCAGGAATAAAAACGTTTTCTTTATTCCTAAAAGAAGAAGGCTTGCATAAACAATTCAACTCTCATAAAATTATCCAATACACGACACCACGAATTTTGTTAATAGTGGGATTATTTTTGTGCTACTTTAAGCATCTTTGTAATGAATACAAATATCTAATTAAATTCCTAATGAGAAGCAGATCACAACTTATAACACATCCATGGTTCAACTTGACTGTATTTATTACTAGCAGCTTCGCTGCCAGCCTTCGTCTGACTTTTAAATGTACCGGAAAACTAGCTTAAGGGAACACCAAACGTTAAATTTAAAAACTGCATAGAATTTTACTCTGCAGAACAACTTCATAGAAAAAAAGTTATTACGTATAACAAAATTACAATGAAATAAGCAATAGCCCTTAATACAAATATTAATTATCTTAATAAATAAATTAACCAACTTCCATTTGCAAAATCTTAAGAACTCAAATGGTATAAAGGAGGTTTAGAACTTTGTTTCCTAAAAAAATCACTCAAAACCTTTCAATATCTTAAAAACAGTGAAATAAGCAATAAATAACATAAAAGAATTTTAAAAAAATTCTAAAAAGAAAAGTATAATTAATGATATTTTATCATATATTTTCAAGAGAAAAAATTAGGTACTACTTTGGTAGACGGTTGCACGGATTTTTGTCGATTTTAATTGGCGCAATTGTTGGCGCGGTTTTTATAGTCATCAGCCATCTTGAAAAATGCTGTTTTTACGTATTTTACGCACATAGTAAAGTATTAGAAACTTTAAAAAAATAAATATCGTTAATTTTTTGTTGAAAACGTTGTTTTTTAAGGTGGCTTGCAAATGTAAATAAATACAGTTACTAAGAGTATAAAATGCTAAAGTAAGGTTAAATTATTACTTTCATATAATAGAATAAAAACACCGCTATAAAAACATTGCGCCAACATTTAATTGGATTAAAATATTACTTAAATTGAATATCGAATTAAAAACATCATACCAACGTTTAAAAGAATTAAAATATTACTTAAATACTTTAAAATAAGTTTTATAGGATTTAATTATTTAACATTAAAACATATGTGGCAATAAATATCTCAGGAATTTTTGAAAACTTTGTATTAATTTTTAATAAAAGTTGACGTATACAATTATTAAGTAAAATAAAGTTATGTACTTACATTTTTTTAAAGTATTTTACCTGTCGTATATTGATAAGTACCAGAAAGAAAAAACGATCTTCATCTGTGATCCACATCTCTCGCACTTCATTGGAGAAGCAATTAGCGACGTTTTCTCCAAAAATTTAAAATAAATTTCCTCTGACGCTATTAACAATTTATAAATAAATCTTTGATTAGGAAAGCCAGGTTGGCCAAAATAAGGTCTCAAAGGACAATTTTTTTTATTCCGATACCAGTAATTCTTGGTAATTACCAATAACAACATTCATCTTCGAAACGGACATATCCATTCCATTTGAAATCTGAGGAATTCGAAGATGAATAATAAAATTTTACAATGGTGCGGTAATGCACAAATATTCAGTAACCAATAAGGGAGCTGATTACATTACGCATAGAATTAAAATTATTTAAATAATCATTCATAATAAAATAATTTTAACACAAATGCAAAATTAAATTGTATTTTAATATTTAACAGCCATAAATAATGTTTAAAACATTAGATTAAATTTATAGATATTAATAAAACCAATTACGTTTTAAGTAAGGTGACGTCATTGATTACATCATCCACAACATAAAATTACATAAAATATTATAAACAACAAAATTTTTATTTCAAATAAAAATTCAAAATTAAATTGATTTTTAATATTTAGAAGCCATAAATAATATTTAAAACACGGAATTTATGCATAATAAAACGCATTATTTTTAAAATAAAATGACAACAAAGTATCGGTTACCATAAATAACTTATCCAGCAATGGGTTTACTATAAGTCGTTTTACTCGCCAAAAGAAAAATTACCAAAATCCGTGCAACCGTCTACCAAACTAGCACCAAAAATTACAATGAAATAAGCTATATCCCTTAATACAAATATTAATTATCCTAATAAAAAAACTTTCCGTTGAAGAAAAAAAATCATGCAAAACTTTTCAATATCGTACAAACAGTGAAATAAGCAAAAAATAACATGAAAGAAACTCAAAAGGAAAAATTCCGCGCAGAATTTTACTCTGCAGAACAACTTTATAAAAAACATCAATAAAATGTATTATATATATAAAAAAATGGCAATGAAATATGCCAGTCTCTTAAAAACAGTGACATAAGAAATACGATGAAAAATTGTTGCCAAACCCATATTTCTAAAAGAATGAAACTATTGAAAATGATGCGATTTCATCAAAAATCTATCAACCACAATAAGAAAGGAAAATTGTTGCCAAAATCACATTTGTTAAAGGATGTGAGATGTGAGAAAGTGTACTCATTTAAAGTTCGGAAGCTTCATTTAAAATTTTTTTAAATAAATTCAAAAAATTTTATCATTTTTCCAAAATTCTTTTTGTATAAAGCAGTCGCAAGGATGAAAAGTTTAACGTGTCCAAAAATTCAAAGAAAAATAAACCGTTTACATTTTTAAACAATAAACTTTTTTAGAAAAAAATCCCGTTGAAAAAAGTGTGTTAAGATCACTTTGTTAAATAAATTCGTATTTAATCGATTTATTGAAACACGAAATTTATTTTAAGTCCGTAAAATAGCTAATTGCCTACATTTCATGACGATGTGAAAATGGAGTGCGTAGAGTAAAATCTCGCTTTCCTATAGCCCATTATGCCTCAAAATGACGCGATTTCGTCACAAAACATGAAATAAAAAAATTTGAATTCGAATTTCGAAAACATCGCTTCGAGGTGCACTGGCTCTTGTCTAGATGCACCTATGTACCAAATTTCGTAGCCGTGGGTCTATTAGCTTACGCGCACCGCGAACGAAAGACACACACACACACAGACAGACTCTTTGTTTTATTATATGTAGAGAAGATGTTTCAGTAATGTTTTCTCAGCTGTAGTTAATTAAAGCCTTAACCTTTAACTACTGTGACTTAAATTGTCGCATAACTACTGTGAGCGGTCTCTCAGATCACTTCTGCTAAAAACAATATCTTATATCTTATATCTAATATTTATTTTTCTTATTTGAATAAATGTTATTTAGTTTCATATATTTAACATTTTCATGAAGATATAAAGAATTTTTATACTTAAATCAGTTAATTAACATAAAATATATACTATGATAATAATTCCTTCGCTTACGTATCTGGATGGAAGAAGTAAATTTTAAAATTCAACTTTTTTATTTTACATTAAAATTTGCGATAAGAATGCTTTAATAAGAATATAGAAAATTAATTTTTATTTTAAAAATTATAATTCGAGTTGATTTTTATACATATTTTTCTACTGCATTGTAGAGACACACTGGTTCTTTGCATGCTATACATTTGTAAGCTGTTTTCCGCTTTTTGTTCGGTGGACAAATATTAGCACTTTCCTTTTTTTTTTTTTATCTAATTTATCGTCTTTTATCTCAATGTTTCCTTCATCCTCATTTATTCCAGAAACTCTTCTTATTGTAACTTTGAGTTCTTTAGGTAAAAATAATGAAGTTATCCTCCGTTTTACATGAGACTGCACCAACTGAATTTCTAATGAAATCTTTTCGTTTCATTTTCGGAGCCAATGGTATAAGACTGAAATAATACGAATGCATTTATTGAGCAGATATCCAAGTTTCTGAAGAATATTGTCATTGGCCAACGTCGGGTTCGACGAGCAATTGATTAGATTGAACGAAGAATAATACTGTGACTACGAGTTCGAACACCCTTGTTGGGCTCTTGAATAGACCATTTGAATTCTTTTTTTCAATAAAAAAAAATCTTGTAGAAGGAGAACATGGATTTTCATTTTCATCGGCAGATATTTCTGAATGTGTCGTGGTTGCTCTCAATAATTTCATCATGGGAACTTTTAACAGAGAACTCTAAATTAGACCAATTTCGAACTATTTATTCAATTTGGTCTTGGGTAAGATATATAGAACGTCTTCTGCACGCATATGAACCATTTCAGGAATATTTATAAAAAAGCGAAATATGTAACAACAACGAAAAGTGAACTTTATCGACCGAAATTTGAATCGTATCCGCTGTGATCAATCTCACAGACCGCTGAGGGGGGGGGAACATTTTTTAAACATAAAAGAAGAAATAGAGCCAGCCAAATGCAACTTCATATGTGACCTTGGACAACTGGTTTAGGAAGGTACTAAGAATGGCAATACCCATTAATTATTCTAAGAGGTGGAAGCATTTAATGGAAAATGTCGCGCGGTCTGAGAGAGCGCTCACAGCAGTTAAAGGTTAATTAAATATAAATAAATAGCTTTAATCGAACTTGAAGAGTTTAAGTATAATCTATTAAAAATGTTTTTTGTAGATATATCAGTAAGCTTTATTTAAAATAATCAAGGATTAAATGCTTATTAACAGAGAATTTCAAATAAGCAGAAAATTTGCAGTACTAATAGACTTAAGTTACAACAAAATATATCAGTTATTTCTGATAAGACTCAACAAATTTTACTTTTACGTACGATTTAAGTTTACCGCGACATGCTCCTCTAAGACATATGCTATATATAATCAAAGACTCGAAAGTAGTCTGTGGCTACTACATGCAGCACAAATATGTAAAGTTAGCAAAGAAGTTATCTATCACTCCGCTTCAGAAGTAAGTTTCATAACTTTAATTATTCATTAACAAATGCTTAATTTGAGTTTTTATTTTTAAGCATGTAAAATATTTATTTAACATTGTGAAATGAATTATTATATTGCTCCAAGTTAAAAATACGGCCAGACAATAAGCTGACCTTGTATTTTTTAAGCTATTTACACCCTCCCCCCCCCAAAAAAAAGAAGGAATATGAAACTGACTTATAATACTCTGTTAGCCGAATTTCTTTGAAAGGTACTACATGCTGCGATATGCAGATGATTACCATTTCAGCGCATGCACAAAGGTATGAGTAATGCCATCTACGCTGTTTACAAATGAGAAAACTGTACAGTGCGTTTCTTATTTGAAAACCGCATTTGAATGTTATTTGTGTGAAGGTCTTGTTATGCCTCATGCAAGAAAGAAGGCGAAACTTCTACCAGCACATGTCAAAATTCAGCAGGGCAGGATCGTGGCTTGTTGAGACTGCGGTTTATTACTTCTCAGCATTGCGTTCGCATTAGACAGGATACCATGACTGTCTGGCGAATATTGGATCGATGGGTACAGGAGAGCCATACTGAAAGCTGTGCGGGATCTCAGCGGCAGCGGGTAACTAGCTTTCGGAGAGGACAGACATGTTGTACAAGACGTTACGTACCCGAACCAAAAACTTGTCCTGTGTGCAGGGTGACTATTGCCTATTCGGATAGCTATAAGTTGGAGCAAGGCTGGAAAGTGTGCATACCTGAAGGTGTGTTAGGTTTCACTGCGTCTTGTTAACTGTTTTTGCATCTAATGGTTCTGTGAGACTAAAGGTGCATCCAAGAGATAATAAGAGGTTTTGTTAAAAATAACAACATTTATTTACAAGAAAATATACGAAAATTTCAATCAATTAGAGATATATTATTAGGCATCTCTGCCTTCCATGTCCTACACCTTTAGTATCCTGCCTGCCACTGACTATTAGGACGAACGCAGCGCCCTCTAGTCAGAATGACTCCGGAAATACGTAATAACTGTTAAGCTGCTTCCCAATTTCGATGGAAAGCAACCCGAGGCTCTTGGGTCTCTCACTGCTTTTCTCCTACTACCAACATTTGATAGAACTTTCAGTTCATCGATATGATATATCGTTTTCCGCAAAAACAGTTAGCACTTACAAATGTTCATGCCTTCTGCAAAATTTGAACCAAGACCAGCGCGCGCAACATCTAGGACACTAACCATTACCGATCAGAGCAACGCATAGTGCGATGACGTGTGCAGCACCACAAACCTAGCACGTGACCATTGTTGTGGCTTCTCTTGACCCTGCGGCAGAGACAGGCACGCCATTTTCCAGATCCATCAGCCACTGAGAACATTTGATAATGTGTTGCCGAAAGACTAGTCCGCCACCAGTCACCAGCCGCTAAGATTGATGAACCTAGAAGCGTTGTGATTTGGAAGTAAATGCGATTGAGAGTTATTGTTACTGGAAATGATTAGCACTGGTAAATTGCTAGACAGGGTAGCGCTTCCTGCACTAAGTTATGTACTCCTTCATTGTTGGCATTAAATTCAATGCGGGAAATTGTTGTGCACTAATTCATAATGAATTTATTTCTAATTCATGATGAGTTTAATGCATTGTCTTTTAAGGGTAGTTTTAAATGCATTACATTTCTTAGAAGCTAACAAAAAGTTAATCAGAAACGGATGATATTTCTCCCAGGCTACCATACTTTTTAGGTGTCAAAGGTCGGCGCGAACAGTTGCGGATGCCCCCTTAAATTTCAACACTGAACTGTTTCTTTCTTGCGAATAGGTTGAAAACATTCCTTGAAGTTTTCCGAGGCATCTTTGAACGGGTTTGACTTCATTAAGGAAATACAGCCATTTTGGAAAAATAGCCGTAAGTTATGACCTTTTCCTCGTTGGTAGGAGAAAGAGGACTTGAATGGATAAAGATTTGTTTACAACTATTTCGAGACAGTGATGAATTTAGAATCTGTCTTCATTTTTGAGAAGCGAGGGGTTTTTTTAGAGTTTTAGCACTAAATGTAAGAGCAGTGTTTTTCACCTTAATGAAAATTAAGAAACACAAATGATGAGAAAGAAATCTCCAGGCGGCCCTGGGGCCCGGGCCGTGGTCCGCGAGTCCAATTTCCCCGGCGAATAAGAATGTTGATAGCGGCGTATCTTTGCAGCCTTCCCGGTCACGAGGAATCTAGTCACATGAGAATAATATTAAAGCGTGACAGTTGTTCCCGTAGCCGACGAGATGTGTCTTTTTCCTTGCGTCAGCGGTCGTGAGTCCAGTTTTTCCGTCTATTATGTTTCTAGGGGGGGTTGTGACCAAAATCCTTCGTAGCTGCCGTAGTTGCTGCAAAACTATGCGCTCTGCTCTGCGCTCGGATCTTGATGGCTAAAAACTTAACTTTTCTAGTATTTTGTTTCGTACCCTAAGGTATTGTAGGAAAATGCATGAGTGCTCGAAAGGGTGAGTTGGAACTACAGAAGCTCATGCCCCGGAAGACCGTTCGCAAACTAGAAGAAAACAGTGGGTCTATCGAAAGGGAAAATTACTAATGATGACATTCCTTCCTTTCGGAGACTAGCTGTTAGTGTGGATTCAGCTATTAGCCAGCATTTAGATGTCAGGAGGAAAGGAGTGGCACGTGCGTGGAATGGTACTGAACTCTGAACAGGTGGGCTAATTTCAATACTTTGTTTATAGACTGAATCCCCAAATCTGAGGGATTCGAGGTTTAGTAAGGATTATGTCAAGATATGTTCTCTGTAAGGAAAGGAAATTTAAATGCGACGTGAAAGGAATATGTAATCTTCAGTATCTCTTAAGCAAAATCGGTAATTTAATACTATTGTTTACCTGTTATAAAATGAGTATTTAATTATGAGTACTTAAGAAAAAAGAGAGGGGGGAATGCTGTAAAAACCTGGATCCAGTTACCCTAGCTATCTTAATTTATGTTAATCAATTAAGTTGTGGAATTATTTAAATATGTATATCTGAATTCCTTATCATTTTCTTTGTACTGGTGAGTGAATTCTTATGTGGTTTATCCTTTTCCTGGCATCTTGAGAAGTCTTTTGTTTGTATTTCTATGAAATGAGTTTGTGGTTACCTCTAGAGTTTAGAGATTATTGTGCATGAGATTTACGTGTTTTGAGAAAAGTCAGAGGGTTACAGTACGTTTCAAAAGAGATAGTATTTTTGAATTTGAAAATGAATTGCATTTTCATTTTTTGACTGAAAGATAATATTTTTGATTTTACACCAAGGCACAAGAGAGGATACTATGTCAGGAACGTGACTTGAATCTTGATTTGAAGAGTTAAATTTTGAATTAACATATTTTGCTATACATGTTATATGAATGTAAGTAATTTTAGTCACCCGTTTTTAGATTTCGCCATCAATTTCACCAGTGTCTAAATTTCAGATATTACGTGAGATTATTTTAACATATTTTTCCGGCACCAATTGTTGAGATATTTAACACTAAAGGTCAAATGATTATATATTAAACTATAATGTTTTCCTCCGTAACAACTGGTACCACTATGATACATCACTTTATCTCGAATATAAATTCTTTACGCTTTGCCGAATGGCAGCATCTTGTCCATGGAAAGATAAAAATATTTTATTTCGGGTAGTGGCAACACATGTCTTTTGAATCTTTCGTTCTGCCAATTAAATTTTCAAACGCATTTCTTTTGAATAGTATATTTTACTGATTAAATTCGAAAGATCTTATGCTTTATAGGTGGAAACACATTGCTTTTAAATCGCTAAGTTTCTTAAGCAAATATATTTTAAATTCGCCGGAAGCATGAAATAAATTTAAAATATTCAAAAGCTGGGCTTTGAAGTGCACATATTTGGTGGAGAACTGTATGTGTTCAACTTAGTGATTCTAGGTATCGCCGCTTTTCTACTATACGAGAAATGCACAGACATAGAAATTCTTCATTATTTAATAATAAAGACTTTAGGCTGTATATATATATATATATATATATATATATATATATATATATAAGATGTCTGTGGCTTTCAGAAGGCCATTTTGAGCGGAATATAGGATCTTAAATACTTACCAATGCGATAAAAATATAGATGTGTATCAACAGACAACCACATGGTATAAAATTAACTTTTTGTTATTCTTGAAGCCTTTTTATCTATATTTTTCGAGTAACAATATCACTGCCTTTAAAACATTTTCAATTTTACTTCCAGGATGTCGAATGCTCGGAAGGCAGGGATCTGGCTGTTCCATATCGGGAAGCCATCTGGCTCAGAGGGCAACATCCTGCCTGCTGATCTAGAATCTTCTCATGGAGGTGATGGTTCTTCAGATGGACAATCATCGTCCACTTGTGCCGATACATTACTTCCTTGTCCGCCGCATTCAACCTGTGTCGATCACCCGGACAGGAAAGGATTCTGTTGCGTTTGTAAATCAAACTATTTCGGAAATGGTCGAAACTGTGTGGAAAAAAGTAAGCGAAAGTCCATTAATATTTTTCTTCCATTATTAATTAAACTCTAAAGGTGAAATCACGGACAAAAGCAATGGTTAAAAAAAATCTCATCTTTAATTTTACAGCCTATTCGTATCCATAAAAATATACATATTTAAGTAAGTGCATAAATAAACGTTAAAACTTAATTTTGAATTAATAAAATAATACAGCTTGGGAAAAATTTACTAAATTTTCACAAAATACAGTAAAGAAATGCAGCAAATATTATTCAAAGATCAGTCACGAAAATACATGAAGTTAGTATGTTCTTGAAGTATTTATAAAACATTTGGCTGAATTTATAACATTATTAATTAGGAATTAAACTAACTGGGTACTGGTACTGCTTATCCTCGAATCTAATGGCTGATCATAAGAAATTATGCTTAATGGATGGCACGTATTGCCTCTGTTACAGTCTAATTATTAATGCACAAGATGAGCCTCAAGGTAAAATCTACCACAAAACTTTAAAATCCATGGATTGTAGGTACTGAAATTAAAGTAGAAACAACCAACACACTTTGAGCCAGATGAGAATTAGTTAATTTTGTAAAACTTACTGAACTACGCAAAACCTTCGATAATGTCTTGCAGTTGGATTGAGTCTGTAAGTGTATTCTGCTAACGCCTTCTACAGCTGAATAATAGGATTCCTCACGAAGCTCCACTGAATTCCTAGTTAAGGTTACACCCTAGTTTTAAACTACGCAAATTCCTGTAATTTCCATTAACCTCTAGTGAGCGAGTATCGTAACGAGAAATATAAAAGAAACTATCATAAAACTTACTGTTGGTAAAAGTCACAAATGTTGCAAATTTACATCATGTTTCTTTTAACAGATTCACCGCAAAGAATGAACGGTAAAGTAAGTGGTATTATCAATGATATTCCGCTTCAAGAAGCCGATCTTCATGCTTACATCGTAACGGAAGATGGAAGAACATATACAGCAGTCAGTCGCGTTCCACCAGCAGTTGGATCTGATCTCCAAGTGCTGACACCTCTTGGAGGAGTAGTAGGATGGCTGTTCGCTGTTTCTAGAAGTGGTGCTCCTAACGGATTTACTATAACAGGTAAGATATGGGAATTTATATTTTCTGTATAAATTTCCTGATATAGTGAATTTCAATTTTTCAAATTGCCATTCGCCAATTTATCTATAGAAGATATTGTATAAACATGGCTATAGGCCTTAGTTTTTGAAATATTAATCCCGGGGAAGTATTATAGTTATTTGCAAAGAACATTCAAAATAAATGAGGGTATGTTAAGAAAAGAAAACAGTTTCAAAAATTCCATTTAGTAATACATTTCTTATCTTTTAATGAGTTAAAAAACAAAAAAGTTTTCATACTATTCACACAAAGATAATTTATTCAACGTTCCCACAACGATAATTTATATTTTAATGTGCTCGAGTACAAATACAATAAATATTTATTTATATTGCACTACCCGATATTGAAAATGCAACATCAAGAAGGAGTAGCTTGTAAATTATGCAAATTTCAGGGTAGACGTACGACACCGAGTTATGCAAATGATGTGAAATGCGCAGCTCTCCAGCGCACGTTGAAGAGGATATAAGGGAAGGAACCTGCTGAATGTTCAATTTTCATACCGTTGTTTCTGCCAGTGAAATTAACGTAGAAAATTTATTCTTGTCCTAGAAGATCAGTGTAATGCCAGGCTATCGTCAACGGAGCCCGTTTTAGTATACAGACGGTTTCACGAGGGGCATTGTGATCGGACTGAGGAAGGCAGGTTGGTCCATACGGCACATCTCAGCTGACACACATCTGGACGCATCCACAATGCATCGGTTGTGGCAGAGATGGTTGGAACAAGGAAATGTGGCAAGTTGGAGAGGTGCCGGCGCAGCTAGAATGACGTCAGCACACGTGGATCAACGCATCCGCCACAAGCCATTTCTACCTCCATTCTGCACCCTTGGATGTTCCCATATCGACCAGAACCATTTGCTGTCGATTGGTGGCTAGCGGCCTGCACTCGTGCCGTCCGTTAAGAAGTCTGTCATTGACCCCACATCATAGACGACAACGTCTGCAATGGTGTAGAGTCCGAGAAATGTGGACGACAGAATATGACAGGGTCGTGTTCTCAGATGAGTCACGCTTCTGTTTCTCCAGTTACAGTCACCGCGTACGAGTGTGGAGTCGATGTGGAGACAGGTCCAATTCGGTAGCAAATGCCGAACGCCCCACAGCGCGACAACGCGGCATCATGGTCTGAGGCGCTATTACGTACATTCCAGGTCCACTCTACTCCATGTTCAGGGCACTATGACGGCCCAACGATACGTGAAGGATGTACTGCGGCTGGTGGCACTCCTGTACATTCACGGAATGCCCAGTGCACTTTATCAGCAGAGTAACTCACGACCAAGCACTGCTCGCGTCAGCCAACGTGCTGTGCCAGGTGTAGAGATGCTTCCCTGGCCACTGTTCTCTTCTGATCTCTCATTAATTGAAAATATTTGAGATGTGATTGTACGCCATTTGCAGACCATGCCATTGCCGCGCTCAAAAGCCGAACTGTGCCAAATGGTTGATAGGGAATGGAGAGCCATTCCTCAAAACACCATCCGTCGTCTCATTGACTTACCTAGACGTGTTCCTTCGTGTATCGCCGTCCAAGGTGGTTCCACAATCTACTGAGCTAACGTTGTTCTCGTTCTATATTATGCAAATCATTTCGAAATAAAGATCACTTATTGTTCGTTGTTGTCTTTCTCCGTTTGCCAAGTTTCCTCACTTTCCGGCCATTCCTTTTTGGTGTTCCATTTTCAATGTAGAGTAGTGTATAAAATTTAGCAACAAAAGTTTGACTCAATGCGGAACCATTAAAGCCAAAACAGAAGCATCTTTTTTTCTTTGCAGTTGCTTCGCAAAACGTTTTGAGAAATACCGATAATCGATAAGAAATGGAAATTGAAAAAGATCTAAATCAGGAAATCTTTTTCTGAATATCTTCTTGAATTTTATACATGAATATATTGTTAGAATTTCATACAAATGTAAACAATTTTAGCGAAATTATATGTGAAATTTCAGCGTTTTTTAGCATAATGCAGCATGAAATGCTTAAAAGGGAAGCTGCTCTGCCGGAAAAATAAGAATACAGGGGCAAGTCTATTTAACGTTGAGTAAATGGCTAGAGCCAAGCTGGCTATTGGTTTTCGTAACTAGTTCTTGTCGCCAAATTTGGCAAGAAATCGCCAAAAATCTTTAAAGTTGGTGACCATTTAGCGACATTTTGATCCAGCCCCTGTATAATGTAATGGGCATTGTAACTGAATACCGTAATTGATCCTACATCTATAACCGTATCCGGGCCTCATATTCTTTCCTGTAATTTCGAAAAGTGGAAGGTATCAGAGATTTCTCGGCGGCCGGGAGAAAATTGCATAAGACTGGGGAGAACATTAATTTCCAGTAGTTGTTTAATTGTGGGAATTTGGAGTATTGAGATATCTTCATGTTAGGTTCGCTTTTTAGAGGTGATTTGCATTGCGTTGTGTTTAACGTTCTTAGTAGTTTGAATTTCGACTACTGAATGTACTCTTTGATACCGTGAAGAGCTGTAAGAGTATTCATATGGGAAGTTTTCAAAGCCGTGAAGTGTTTCTTTTGGTAAAATAAATTTTATCAAGCCATCATCGGTTCTCTGCGCATTCGATCTATTACGAACCCGTACGCACGCAACAACGTTTCATTTTTGATGCATTAAAGCAGGGTTTTTAAGCTTTTTTAATTTTGTGCCACATAAGTAAGAAGAAAAATTATATGTACCATCATGTATCAGTATATGTACCAAAGGAGACGCCGTTTCACATTCACTTAAATACACTTCCTGCCAAAAGTTAAGCACGGAGAGGAAAATGCTAATTTCCAGAAGACAATCAGAATTGAAGAGGATATAATTCGCTGCAGAGGTAGACGGAAGTATGTAAATATGTTAGGTAATAGCCAATCGCGCTTTCATGTCAAGAAATATGCAAAAAGGCAGTTTTATAAGAAGCCAGCTTTGTGAAGGGTTACAGAAGTTGATTGTAAGATGATGAATGATGAATTACAGAATGATGAATGAAATTACAGATTAGCCAAAGGGAATCGCCGAGCGACCTCCGCACGTGTGGCATCTATGGTTACAGCATCCATTGGTAAGGCGATATCTTCAGCTATATGTAATATGTAATCTTCGGCTGTACGCAGATTAATATGTAATCTTCGGCTGTACGAAGATTACATATGAGTGGACTGTATGCCCGGGTACCTCGAGTTCGTGTTCCTCTATTCGTCCAATCAAGAGGGGAACGTTTACAGTGGTGCCGGGAACATGTCAATTGGAATGTGTCTGACTGGGGCAATGTCACTGATGAGTCAAGATTTGCTCTGGAGCCAGATGACAAGCTATAAGGATATTACGTAAACAACGAACACGCAATCAGTCCCAAAACATCACCGAACATCACACATTCCGAGGCGGAAGCATTATGGTGTGGGCAGAGATTTCATTAGGATACCAAACCGACCTGCACATCTTTAAACGGGTTCTTTGACGGCTGTCCGGTATCGAGATGAAGTCCTAAAATCCATTCTGAGATAGGCCCTACTTTTGTGTTTTAACGCACGTCCCTATTAGAGCTGACATCGCCGATGACTACCTGGAGAGTGAAGCGATTGCACGTATGGCGTAGCTAGCATATTCGCCCGACCTTAATCCCTTTCAAAATCTTTGGGATACTCTTGGCCGTGTTGTATCTTCACGTTTCCCACTTCCAACCACTCTTATTGAGCTGGAAACGGCTCTACAAGAAGAACGGCGATGGCTTAATTCTGCGATAGTTGACCGACCACTTAATTGAAAGCATGGTCACAAGATGTAAACTTTGTATACAGATGAGGGAGGATCACTTACCCTATTAATGTCCTTTTTTTTCATTTTATGCTATTTATTTTCCCTTTGTACATAATTCTGTTTAAATCTCCAGTATGTCATTATCTGATAACTTACAAAAATTTAATATTGTTTTCATTTCTGTATATAATTATTGATTTTGTTTCCTGCATAAATATATATGCTATTTCCTTCCGAATTTTGTGTCAATCAAAGCAGTATTTGTTGATTTTTTTTGCATTTTACATTTTCGTGCTTAACTTTTGGAAGTGAGTGTATTTTGGGTAAAGATTTTTCTATCCAAACTATTCTATTGTACCATTAATTGTACATGTGTTATAGTTTTATAAACCGTACATTAAAACATAATGACTATTTTACTAATTGAAAGTTTTCCCATACTTTCTGCAATAAAAATTCAGAATTTTATTTTCTTGTAGCCCTCCCATTTCGATAAAATTGTTTTTAATACTGCTTTTGTTTTTAATTTGATCCTCAGATTTTTTTTTGTCCGCATCACTTTTCGAATCTCTTTTCAAATAAAAGGATGTTTCTACCAAATGTTACAAATATTATCGCCATCTATCATTTTTAAAGAAATACTACAGAGAATATAAAAAGTTACTGGCAAAGCAAAGATATGCTGTTTTGTATATTTTGCGATTTTGCTGTTGAATTTTGTGCGTGTATGTCCGAAGAAAGTAATGATTAATAATAAAGTTAAAAGACAAAAAGATCATAATAGAAAACAGAAGATGTGTAAGTAAGTCATCTAAGAAAACTAAGCATTTATATGATGAACTCGGAAAAGACGAAATAATACATACATAATTTATATATTTATGTATGGAAAACATTATATCACAAATTATAAAAATATACTGCTATTAAAAACTTTGTAATTTTGCTGTTGAATTTCATATGACGTAAACGTGAAAACAGGTAATGTTTAATAATAAAGTTAAAAAGACATCTTGTTAAGAAAACTGAATATAGATATGACGACTAAGAAAAGAGTGGAGAAAGAAATACTAAAATATATGGTTAATTATACACACTATTTGAAATTTTAAAGATAGGTTACTTTTAAACGCTTTGTGCTATTACGCTTGAATTTTATGTGGGTTAAGTGCTAAGAACGTGTTGTTTAGTAATAAAGTTTAGAAGAAACAGAAAAAGTTGTGCCAGCCAGAGTGAGTTCAAGAACAGACTATAAATTGTGGGCTCAACGGAAGCATTAAAAACCTTAACTCACTGCAACGTTAAAATATGAATCCTTTCAAATTTTCTCTTTCTTTCCTTTTTTATTCATTTTTTTCTCTCTAATTCCTTATCTCATTTGAAGAAATGTCATACCTAGGAGTACATATCTAAAATAATTAATTACTAAGAAAATACACCTTTCAGCAATTTTTTTCCTATGTCCTTTGTTAGTCGATATGTAAATAATTTCTATTAGAGCTTTTTTTTTTTTTTTTTTTTTTTTTACATTTCTTCTATGGAGTTTTTCAAACAATAACAAATTTTAGGACCTGGATTTCCACAGGAAATCTTGGTATTTTATAGGAAATTTTGGTATTTCATAGCCACGGGAAATTGGTCGCAGATCTACATATATGAATGTTCTCATTTATGTTCCTTATGACCAGGTGGCGCCTTTAATCGGAACCGTGGAGGTAGACTTTCCTCAGTCTGGTCATCATGTATATATTGAAGAGTCTTTCCTCGGACCAGATGTTTTCAACTACATGAGGGTACAAGTGAACTTGAGAGGCAGCGTTCCATCTATTCCTGTGGGAGCGAAAATAGAAATTCAAGATTATGAAGAGGAGTACACCAGAATTTCACCAGGTATACTTTGAATACAAACTCTTTAAAATCTATATTTCCATGTATTTTAAAGTAGGTAAATAAAATCCTCCGAAGAAATCTCTTCTGAAAGCAACTAACAGTTTTAAGTTCCTTTAAAGATAGTTAAAGCTATATATTTAAGTTGTTTTTAACAATCTAATCAGATTGTTTTCCTAAATTGTTATATTTTCTTCAGTGTCTCATGCAATATCATATTAGGTACAACTTTGCAGATGCACACACACAAAAAAAGGGACAGATCTATATTTTCCTTCTACTGGGACGATTGACAAAATTTAACTTGCTTTTTTTCATGTCTCGAAAGCACGGCTAAGGATATATATTAGATTTATACATAGCAATTGTTCTAACATAGGTATTTTGACATAAAATTAGACTTTTTCTGAAATGATGTATCGATTTTTCCCCATATTTCGATTTTACGACTCAAATTATGTCAAAGTGGTAAGTTTCGCAAAATTCACTCAAGTAATTTTTAAACATTACCTCTCGAAATTTTAGATCCTTATTGTTAAGTGAATTTGGTACATATTTATTACTATCTTTTTTTTTATTAAACCTATTCCATTTCATCTTTCACGGTTCGAAATTTGGGTTCAGTCCAAATAAAGTTCCCAGATATTTTCTGAATAAGTTTTAAAACTGGTATTTTTTATTAATTTCTATAAATTTTTCGAAAAGCTTTTTGAATTATAAGCTATAAAATTTTGACCCTTACTTTAAAGTAGATGTATTTCTAGGCGTACCTGCGAAAATGTAAGAGTTTTTTATTTGAAATTTCTAAAGATATACGTGAATTTATGGTGTTGGTGTTGGTGTTTTTAATTATGGCAAAGCACACTAGGGCTATCTGCCTGACGGGGGGATGCCTCGTGAATTTATGTAGTGACGCATTTTGAAATTTGGCATGTTTGTTATAAGTGATAAAAACTCCAAATATATATATATATATATTTTAACATTTCGGAATTTAGATTCGATCCAAATAAAATTCGTAACTACTCGTATTTACTGATTTGTTTTTAAATTCAATTTTTTTAGCCTTTTTTATAAATTGTTTTGAAAACTTTTGGAATTATAACCTATAAAAATTGTACCGTTACCTTAAAGTGGATGCATTTCTAGGCATACCTGCAAAAAATTAGAGTTTTGTATTCAAAATTTCCCAAGATCTACGTGAATTTAAGTGTAGGCGAATTTGAAATTTTGTATATTTGTTATAAGCGATAATAACGCCAAATGTGCTTTGTGCACTTTGTTAAGACTACTTAGAAGAATGAGAGATGCAGATTTTTTTCAGCTCACGCGCAATGAAGAAGGAAAAAGGAAAAAAAGGTCACTATAAATTAAGAATTTCTTAAATTTTCTAATTCTATAAATTAAGAATTCTATAAATATGAAGTATAAATCCTATCAAAATCGTAAATATTAAGAATTCTATAAATATTAAGAATTCTATAAATAGTAAGAATTCTTAAATTAAATAAATTAAGAATTCTATAAATATTAAAGAATTCTATAAATTAAGATTCTATAAATATAAGAATTCTATAATTAAGAATTCTATAAATATTAAGAATTCTATAAATTAAAAATTCTATAACTAGTAAGACTTCTATAAATTAAGAATTCTATAAATATTAAGAATTCAATAAATTCTATAAATTAAGAGTTCTTTGCGTAGACTGTAAAAGGGACGCCAAGACTAATTTTTAAATTTCTCGATAAGATTCTATCATATTTTATAAACGGCATAATTTGAGTCGTAGAATCGAAATATGGAAAAAACGCGATATGTCATTTCAGAAGAAGTGTAATATTGTGTTAATCTTATGTTAGAACAATGCTATACATAAATCTAATATATATCCTAAATCGCGCTTTCGAGACATAAAATACAAATTAAATTTCGTCGATCGCCCCATTAGAACAGGAGATATAGCAGTGTCTTTTTCTGTGTAAATTGTACATAACATTTGAATCCAATCATTTATAATTACAGAAGTGGAATCTTTGTCAATTTACTCGGAATTAATACACGCTTTGAGAATGTTTGTCTGAATACCAGTTTCTTTAACTTTTAATAATTAAATATTAATTACTTTAAATACGAAAATTTTGTCTATAATTACATACTATGTGCTTTCAATGTTTTATCTGCAAATTACTGTTGTGGGCTTGTTTCCTTTGTAAGGCAAGTGTAACAGCAATGATTTTCAAGAGTATCTCCCATTTTGTATCTACACTAATTAAAATGGTTAATTCTGTATATTTCAAGACTTCTTACGTGATTAATATCTTCTTTACATTTCAGGTTTAATACGTTCGCATGCGTCTCGTTCCTACCGCTTGGAAGGCAACGTTCTGGAGGTGCCATTCACTTTGGACCAGACGATCACGTACTCGGAATGTGAGGTACCCATGTCTAGCACGCGACTGAAAGTGGCCAGAAATTTCATCGTATACGATGCTCAAGAGCAAATTGTGAGATATGCTATGACCAATAAGATATCTCCTCTGAGTGGTAAGAAATCTCCGATCAGTTCTATTCTATTGTTGTGAAAAAAATACTCTTTAATGCTGTTCTTTTAATAATTTTGCGCATCTGGAATACCGTAGTCAGTTATAACATAGGTATAGGATATAAAAATTAAATACCTGGACTAGCGTTGCAGCAAAATGTAGAAAAACTCTATACTTCTCAAAATATTTCTTTTTTCAATTAAAATTATTTTCTGGATGCACTTTTTAAAACAACTGTTGTTACATTCTTTTCACTTTCTTCCAAGTCATTGTCTGCCGTAAACAGAGCAAACATATGGCATAAAAAAGTGATTCCGGAATGAAAAGCCGTTATTTTTGTCTATAGCGAATTAATTTATGATCTCAACTAAAGAAATTTTATCTGAAATTTCAGTTTACTAAAACATAATTCAATTATCTCACGGAAACTAAGCTTTTCGTGTTTATTTGTGATTTTATAACGACTTTGTCTAAAGTCATTTTTACAAAATTGTTGCTTAATCATACTATATATTTTTATTTTCATACATTAAGGAGTATGCCTTCTGGTTGGTTTTGTTTCAGCCAACAGATAAATCATAGACTAAGGGTGTAAAGACATTAGGTTTTTTTGTTTTTTTTTTTATGCGGGAGACGTAAAGGATGTTCAGTGCCCTCGCCAGGACTCGAATCTGGACCTCTCGAATGCAAGCCGAGTGTGCTACCGCTACACTACGAAGGTTTGCAGAAACGAAGAAGAAAATACATTATAGACTCTCCCTTTTAAAAGTAGACTGGGAATTAGGGGGACCAATCGCCAAATTCTGGTGGTGAAAATTCATCATCCGCCATCGGGCACCACTGTAGATACATTATGTATTTTTGAAGCAAAAGTACATGAAAAATTAGCAATGCTATCGCTATCTAGCAGCTCTAGTTAAGAAATTCAACAGATGCATTCTTCTGAGGATATGGTCAAAGTTATGCAACAAAACTCGGCAGCTGAAAGCATCCTATACTTGCATTTCAAGAGAGTTAAACGCGGTGACCGGCATAACCAGTCGAAACATGCTACGACCTCAAATTCCAAGTATTGCTAAACCTTTTAAAACTCATTTAGACAACAAATTAACATTACATAGACAACAAATATCCCTTCGGTACGACAGTCAGCGTCGCTAACCACTATCCGGTTGCACGGCGGAACCGTCTCTAGAGCCTGCAAATGACACTTGATGGAATAAACTTGTGCTTATGCATGTTTGGTTTTCTTTTCTCCTGGTTGATCTTACCAAGCATAAATCCACCGATATAATTTCTTTGCATCATACTTGTTACCTAAAATTGTCTTTTCGAGCTGAAAAAACGTTGGGAACTCTTTCAGCCACAAAACATTAACATGTTTTTTGAATCCTTAACACCCACAATGAATAAAGTTGGGTTTAGAAAGTTCCTTTTTCAATAACTTATACGGAAAATTTTAGAAATAAAAAAGGAGAAAAGTAATTAATCATTCGTGTTATTTAAATTCTGATTCAATAAAGAAAAAAAATATTTTCATATTCTCGTTGTCAGCATTTCAAGAAAATGCCCGCTTAAAAAAAAATAAACTCTTTCTTAATTCATTCTTTTGAGTTTTTTATCCTATACTGCATAAATTATGTAAAATTTTAAGTCATCCATTTATGCAATAAATAATGCTCCTTTACTGAAACCATTTTTTGGGGGGAATAGAGATTTTTAAAAAATTTCTTAGAAATTAGATATTTTATGAAAGCTGCTAAATGCTAGCATTAGAAAGTATGTTACACACATTTTTGCATGACTCAAGCGTATATTTGATTAATGAGACATGAATTAGCTTACTTATTCAAAAAACTTGTCTGAATATTTAATTTTTAAGAGTTATTTACAAAGTATATTTAATTCTAATTGTGTGTCTCGAAAATCTGGAATTTTACAAAAAAGCAATTACTCATATGTTTAAGCTTTGATTTCCTTCCAGTCGAAGATCCTTGCAAAGAAGGTCGTCACGAATGTGGCCCTCACAGCAGCTGCGTTGTCGAAGGCGATTCATTCCGTTGCACTTGTGATCAAGGTTATCAATACATTTACGAAGAATATGCTGATGGTGATAAGGCTCTATGCATTGGTGAGTAATATTTAAACACCTTTTTTACCTTTTAAAGAAAAAGTGGCTGCACTTGATGTTTATTTGAAAACTCTAGTTTTATATTATTATGCATCGTGCCCATAGAACGCCATTTTATGGACTTTTATTTTTCACAACAGTTATCAGTAGAAATGTACTTCCAGTTGCAAAAATACTTTACATAATTAAAATAGCATTATTCTGCCATTTCTTAACATAAAAATTCAATTTTCTAAAATTTACGAAATCTATATTTGTATTCGATCCCTCGAGCCCTATAGTTATACTTAGTAACAGTTTGTTCTCAGCATATAAAAATAAAATGTTTGAATTCTGCTAGACAGAAAGTGAATGAAATGTTTAGAGTTGGAAGTCATGTTCAGGAATCATGAAACTGCCATGACTGCATGAATGGAAACTGTCATGATAAGTATTGATCAGTATATATATTTTTTTCAAAAGCGCGATTTTATTCACAGAGTTTTATAGAATGTATACTCTAGAACACTGTGAGAGGCTTCAGATTGGCTCACAACCAATCTAAATCAGCCCTCTGCCACTACTAGCATAAATTAAAAAAGAGAAAGTATTTCTAGATTAACGAATTTTTTGTATGGTTATTAGATTTATGATTCTGTAGTAATAAAACTGCATGAGAATATTAATCTATTCTTGGTATTAGAAAATTTATAAATTACTTGTGTAAACATTCTATCTTCATGGCATATGCTGTCAGGATTTGTGTTTCTCTTGATTTGCTTTGGAAACATGAATAGGGAGCTTACTCAAGCTATGTTCAGGAAGGTGTGAAGTAGACAACACAAGCAGGAAGGGTATACGAAACCCTTTATTTTCAATACTTTACAGGTATTTTCGAAACTTCGGAATACTGAGACCAACCACTTGTGGTTTGAACGTAAGAATATAAAAACTACTAACTAAAACTCTAACTAAAAGCTAACTTTGAATTAGTATACAAATGCCTAGCACTAAGACTGGCCTTTATTTCAAAAAAAGGTACGTATATAGTACGTCGAGCTGCTAAAACGTTTGCAACTATCAAGAGGGCTAAACTTCTGCCCTTAAAGGCAACCAGTAACAGAGTGAAAACTCGTAAAACTACAGTGGCAAGCGGCTTGCTTTCTGAAACTCCTTCTCTCTCTTTCTCTTGGCAAAAAGCCACAACTTAAGTACTTGGCGTTAGCAAGACAATTTGCATAAACAAGTTAAAATATTTAATTCTGGCCAGAAGTAGAAAATAAGAAGTGATAGTACAGTTTTAAAATAAAATAAACGTTAGTAAAACTTAGGATCCTTACAATGCAACAAAATTATAAGTTGTTATTAGTAAATCAATCGTGGACATTAGTACATCGTGGAAGATTATCAATGAAAAACATTAAAAAGAAATAGTAGGACCTCTAATTAATCTAATTTATTTTTACCTCAACCCCTTAGGCAAACTTAAAATTATATAAAAATATTTTAAATTCTGAAAGCAGTTACCGTAGTCAATTTTTATCATAGATTCAAATGTTGTACATTTTATTTTTAGAATATATACAAAGCTCTATTGAATAACTTCAGTTAAGGGAAAGCCGTCTATAAAGTTAGATTTTATAATTTTTTACAAAAGCTGATTTTTTTCAATTTAAAAAAGCAAAATCATGAATATTTTCATCATTTAAAATATTTTCATAATTGGAACTATATATCTTCGACTGTGAAATAGAGGGAGCATAGAAATTTCTGCGGACATGGTGCACAGCTATCTACTGTACACATGGTTAGGTTAAGCTTAAAAAAAGCAGTCAAAGATTCCAGCATTCATAGCAATCATAGCATTCTCCGCAGCATCTTGATGCTATTTCCTGATCGAAAACAGTTGCGTAAGGATTACGGAAACCATGTTGAAATATCTACCATATAAGAACTACGGAAACGGTGTTCAAGTATCTACCATATATATTATTAGATTAAACCTCTCGTTAAAAAGAACAAAGATTTCAATAGCTTAGTGAATCATAGTGTTGACTAAGCTTCGTAGCATATCTTGAAGCTCATTTATGATCGAAATAAAAACTTTATGGAAATGTTCAACTACATTAGATCATTTGGAGCAGTTATTCCAATTTAGGGCCTTTGTAAGGTGACATCAATACATTTTGCCATTTTTAAGCTAAAAACTCATCCTCAACTCCATTTTATTAGAAATCATGGTATTTGGCACATCTTATTGAGATATTTTTATTCATCAGGCCTCCGGCTTAAGTTAATAGAATGTTAAGGGTGAAATAATTATACATGCTATGGTTGGCTTAATTTAATAGAATGTTAGGCTTAAGTTAATAAAATGTTAATGGTGAAATATCTATATATGTTATGGTATATTAACATAGAATTTTTAAAAAATTAGAATTTTTTTTTTGGGGGGGAACATAGCTGCAATTTTACAAAAGCTAAATTTGCATACTATATTTCGTAAAAGGGATTAGAACATCGAAAACTAGCTACATCTGATATTATTTTTAAGTCATTTGTGACCGACTGACGCTAACCGACATACATCTTATGCTTTGAATGCACTCTTTTGCAAAAAAATCGAAGCACCATGAAGTGATTGTTTTTTGATGAAATTGAATATGTGTATAGTTCATACACAAATATGAAAAGGATTAAAAAATCAAGGTCAATGTACCTGTTCACGGCTCACAATAACCCATTGAGTGTTCAAATTAGTAGTTGGTCGAACCGCCTCTGGCGACAATGCATGCTTGAATTCGTCGAGGCAAGGAGTGGTAGAGGTTCCTAATGTCATCCTGCGATACATTCTGCCAGGCATTCATCAGTGTCGCTCCAGATCTGCGGTATTTTGTGGTGCCAGAATCTGGCGGCTTACCATGTCTCAGACATGCTCGATTGGTGAAAAGTCTGGCGACCTTGCTGTCCAAGGAAGAATATCAAACGCACTGAGACAGTCCAGAGATATGCGAGCGGTATGTGGCCTGGCATTATCTCGTTGGAAAATGGCCTCAGGATGACATACCATGAGGCCGCAGGATGGTATCAACAAATCGTTGAGCTGATAAAGATGTACGGAGGATGGCTAAAGATGACCTGCTGTCATAAGAAATAGCGCCTCACACCATCACACCAGGAGTTATGGCTGTATGCCTTTGTAAAACAAAGGTTGATTAGGACCGATGGCGCCGTCCTCTTCAGACACGAACACGGTCGTCATCTGCTTCAAGAGTGAAGCGGGATTCATCTCTGAACACTATACGATGCCAGTCTGATGGCAGACATGATGATCGGCTGCGACATTACTCCAGAAGACTCCGCCGATGTTGTGGGGTCAAAAGCAAACGTCTTAAAGGCCCTTGTGAGCGTAACCCCACCTCAGACAAGCACTGTAAAATAGTGGATGGTACCGCGTGAGGTATAGACGTAGCTGTAGTGCGTTGAATAGTCGAAATGATACCGTTTTGGGGCGGTTCGGGCCTGGCGAACATTGCTTCTTTATGGAATTACGATGGCTGCCACAAAAAAAAAAAAAAAAAAAAAAAAAAAAAAAAATTCCGCCTCTGTTACTGGTTTTATACTTTGCGAATTGCGCAATAGAAATGCACGCTATGATCGCAATTCTTGTTCATTTGTCTTGAAACTTTGATCATTTGCATGTTTGATCAAGATGTTTTTGCATACCAAATTTCATCACGATCGCAAAAGTCCTTCTTGGTGCTTCGATTTCTTTTGCAAAGGAGTGTATTTAGTGAATTTTCGATGGTTGCATATTTATGTAAAGTATTCAAGTCTTAAGAAAGTTTTAAATAACTTTTTATTGAATCTTGAATAGACACTACTCATACAGACGATAAAAAAAACGCACCACTTTCGGGCATTTAAAATAACAAAATTGATATTTCAAATTAAAAGTACCGTAATCGTAATAGTATGCACATTGGCCATCTCAAGCTGATTTCAAACTTCGACGCCGTTAATTTAGTGGGCTAAGAAAACGCCTGAAACCGGAAACGGAAAAAGATGGTGGTAGGGAATAAAGCTGAGAGATCCTATGCCAAATGTTCTATCTCTAAACTTTCAAATCCCTCGAAATATATAACAAGCTCATTTGCGTTCTATGAATGCAGGGGAAATTAGGTTTAAATCATAAAAATTAGTTAGTTAACATAAACTATTTCACACATGTGTCATCAGTCCTGTGTTAGACCAAGAATTTCACATTGCCATATTCAAATAACTTAACCTAACCTAACCTAAAAATAATGATATCGTTTTTAAATTTGATTTTGCCCGTATGTCTCAAATTATAACTTCAGTGTTAAAAAAAATTTACAAACTTAAATCTCCATAAAAATACAAACTTTTTATCAAATGTCTAATTTTAATTTAAATTCTTGTAATGTTGAACTATAAAGGAACTTTCGGTAATTTTCAGTTTTACAGATATATTAGTCTTCTAAAACAGCCTGAGAAAAGATTATCTAGGGCACCAGTTCTCAAACTGTGTTACATAACCACTGGTGGTACATTACACTATTTTTAGTATAATTTTTACAGAAAAAAATTAAATGAATATTCAAAATGAATGTAAAACTGCACCCTTTTAACATTTTGTTTTAACCTTTATTATTCAGAAACACATATATATTTTGTAAGATTCTCACTAGTGTATTTCTCAGTTACTGTAGAAAAGTGACGAATCTTAAGAACTAGTTAGCGAATAATCGCTTAAGTTGGTGTAACAAGAAACAACAAGATGAAGGGTAACCTAACCCTTTATTATTCCAATAAGATTTAACAAAACTCCATCTTGGAGTGTACAATAAAAGCTGACACTTGGGCTTGAACTTAAGAGACTAAGAAATAAACTAAAACTAAGATTAACTAAAGAGATATAGCCGAAGCTATCAAGATTCTAATCGAGTTGGGCCCTTAACTCTATTTGACTACGAAGTTTATCAAGGGCCTGAGTACGGTGAGCGTAATAACGGCTTTGAGAGACAGTAGCCAAAAGGCAGTCGCTCAGAAATCAGAAACTCGGATTCTCTCTAACTCAGCAAGTAGACTTCGAGGTTTAAATACCGCTCCTCCTCATTAAGTATTCAGAGTGATTCCAAAACTACGTTCTGGCCGGAAGTAGTAAGTTAAAGTTAAGAATTTGACAGGAAAGGAACTTAAAATTAACTTAAAATTTAACTGTTAATAAAATTAACATAATCCTTACAATTTCAAGTTTTTTACTTTTACGGCTCTCGCTTGAATGTTGAAATGACGACTTTTCCAAGAGCTTCGAACAATTTTCCGACGTTACTATTTCCAAGTATGGTAGGCGGCACACCAGTATACTCGTAGTATACTTATTTATATTTTATTGTAATTGTAAAATTTTCATTTACGAATATAATTATAAATATAAAGGGTTTTTTCTTTAATTATATACACTCCATTTAGGATGCATTGATTTTTTAATGGAGAAATGCTTTTATAGTGGTACATATGTTTTTTTTTTTTAGTCCAAAGGGGCTTTGTCCCTGAAGGACTATTGTTTTCGTTTTGCGATTTTGCGTCGGCCTCATAAACGTCGGTTCACTTTTCAAACTGTTGCCACAAAATGTTAGAGTCCTGCATTATATTTGAAGAAATTAAATAATGAAAAATCTGCATAAATGATTGTCTATTTCTCGCATTGTGATAAAACAATGGTACATAGAGCCATCGAATTTTGAATGACGAAATCCTACTGCGAATATGGGCATCTGAAATCCCAAATTTGGAATTTGTTTTATTATAGATTTTATATTTTGTAAAACTTTAACGAATTTTTGATTTACAAACTCAATGCTTTAAAAGCGAGAAATGGCAACGTTATATATAAAAAAAAATACTTTTATCTCCAGCTCGCGAGACTGTGTATATCGGAAATTCTAAAGATATGCTTTAATTTAACATTATTTTGCGATATTGCTCTTGAACTGAATTTTATGGTTTAAGTGCAAAGAACATGATATTTAATAAATAAAGGTAACACTCAAAACGTTTAAAAAAAACGCCCTTTGGACGTAAATTTAAAATCTGAAACATTTCAGATTTTTTTTTTTTTTTTTCATATTTATATGGTAAAAAATTTGAAAAGTTTGAGAACCCTTGATCTAAGATACTCGGTAAAAGTAATTAAGGAACGCTTAAGCGTTGTAAAAATTATTATTTGAGAATAATTATGCAAATCAGGTAACTATAGGTTTCATTTGTATAAGATATAACTATTACTTTCATCTTATTTCTTGAAACAGATTATATGAGATAAATTTATTTTCTACTGCGTTTAAACTACAGCTATAACTCAATGATTACAAAAACTGTCCACCACTACTTAGGTCTCTCAAATTAGCCCAAAAAGTGATACATAAGGAATGGTGCAAAACAAAATTTTATTAATTCCTACATGGAAAGAGATACTTTGACTACACTGACAGGAAATTAAAAAGTATTTAAGTTTCTTTTCTCATTATTACAAGCTTTGATCGCTGTTAGTATCACGGCAAGCATCAAGACGGTATTCAAGTTCATCTCAAATGCCTCCAGCATATTCTCAAAGAAGTAGATTCCAATATGTTATGGCACCGGATGCTGATTCACTGTCTTCTTAATGTAGGAAAAAAGTCATAGAGTGACAAACCTGGTAATGTTGGCAGGGGGGGTCAGACTAGCACTAAAATCGAAATCCTCTCTACACCACCGATCCAGTGCTTCGATGGAAAATAGCATTCAAATAACAGTGAATATCTAAAGGAAAATGAGAAGAGCTTTATATACTTGAAATATGACGTAAAGATAGTCATCCTTCAGTTCAGGCATAGCCAGTTCGTCATATCCAGGTTAGTAGGAGTAGTCAATAACAGCAGTAAGTTCAGCAGAGAAGGAGGCTGATTGCATGAAACACATCCGTATCTGATGAGTCTTTCCTATGCAGGATTCCACGATACTATGTGGATGTTCTATGCCTCATTCTCACATTATGATGCTTTTGTTGAGCTGCGAAATCGTCTCGTCACTGGGAAGTGGCATTTAAACGAATCCGGCAACTTCTAACTGTCGTTCTTGCATTCATCTGCAAAAGTTAGTGTTTTGGTTTATTGTCTATGTTAATTTTTATAGGAGTTCTTATTTGCATGTGATACAGTTCAGGCGTTTTCGTAGATGCGTCACACCGTGGGCTGTGGTACTTGCACTTCTTTTTAGCCCACCTTATCAACTTCCTTGAACTCCATTCGAAACACGGGCCTAATCTTGTCCAGCCTCTTTCGACGCTTATTGGCTTTCCGGTCTTTTGCGGCGCATAATCAGCCAAATGAGTAATATAGCTTCTATGCGGTGGAAGCGTACTGAATTCAGTTCGAAATTGTCACTGCATTTTTGCAAGACTTCGTATTCCAATGCCAAAATGCTTTCTATCTCCTCATTTTGGAAACCTGCTATCGGTGTTTACGTGCAATATCTTCCATAAATCGATCTTAATCGAATCTTGCAGTTTCTTTCTTTGCATAATTGCCTGCTTATATTTTAGTACTCTAGCTAGAGGTCTTCCTTTTTGTACAATCACTTTCAAATAGTGCGTTTCAGTTACAAAAACACAATTAAAATCACGCTTACCAGGTTTCCCAGACAGGCTCAGATGATGGAGATAAAAATGTTTTATTTCGTACAGTGTTACCACTGCTCTCTTTGAAATCGTTGACATTTTACTTCTTTGTACGAAGTAAAGAAGGTACTGTAATCGCGAAAAATTTCGGATATCATATTTCAAAGAAAATATTTTGACAGCTCTCGAATTCATTTGAGCGATGTGTTTGCGTGACATCTGTATGTACGGGCAGACTAAAGGACAATTATAAAATGCATTCAGAAGAGATTATTTTGTGACGTCTGTACATACGTACGTACGTATATATAAATAACGCATAACTCAAAAAACGAGTAGTCTCAGAACATTGAAAATTTGTATATGGTTCTTGCTATAGCATGTAGTTGTGCATCTTACTTTTTGCTTGCAATCAGCTGCGCCAAACATATATATATATATATATATATACCACTCTGTTACCAGGCTCAGTAAGCTCAATTTTTATATTCTTCTATGCTGGTAAATTGTGCATTTTTTGCTTTAAAAGGGATTGAATCATGTCGTTCTTATATTTCGGTTAAGATTTTTTATGACTTCAGTTAATCTGCATGTAATAGTTGTAGAATTATCAATAGTTTAAAACTAAATCTAACGAAGCCGCCACTTGTTCACATTTTAAACTCTTAGTAGAATAATGAATTCAGTTTCTGTACCAACTTCACAGTGTTTTGGCCGCGTGGGAACAAAAGTAAACTTTGAGTTTTGTGCAACAAAAAATATGTCTTTCTGCCCGGTGGCCAAATTGCTTGTTTTGGGGGTAGAAACTCTAATTTTAAATGTAAACATTTTTTTAATTGCTTTTAACTCTATTTGGTGTTTTATGTTTTTCTGTATTTTACAATTTCCGACGAAGATATTTTGAATCCTTGTGTATTTTTGCCTTGCCGCGAAGTGAGAACTGAATGGAATGAGAAATATATCTCTAATGAAATTCGAATAAATAAGTTTAAACAAAATGCAGCGAAAAATGTATGTAATTTAATAGTCCGCACAAGGAAGTCATGCGGTGTCCATATCAGATATTTTAATCAAATATTCATTAAATATTCGGGTGAAGAACTACGTTATTCAAACTTTGATGGCTCTAGCTGCCGTTATTTTTTCACAATACGAGAAACATGCATACATTTGTACAGATTCTTTATTACTTAATTTCTTTAAATATACTAATGCTTCTTTGGGCTAATAACTGTTTAATTAAGCAGGTCATACAATACTTACTCTTCGTTTCTTTTTTTTTTTTTTTTTTCCAGATGTCAATGAATGTGTCCTTGGTAGAGATAATTGCGCTGTCCACGCAGATTGCATCAACTTTCCAGGATCTTTTGCATGTAGATGTAAGCCTGGGTACACCGGAAACGGCATCACCTGTGAAAGTAAGTATTCAATGTCTTGATATAATAAATAAAGACATTTTCCTTTTCTTGTGGCCTTTTGTTCTTCGTATGTATTTATGTTTACTTATATCTGCGTTTATATACCTGACACACACACGAGCAGGTTTATTCTCATAAGCATATATACTTTAGTTTAATGTACGAGTACGCTGCAACTCTCCTGGCCGATAATAATCGGCCTTATGGTTAACGCAGCACACCCGACGCAGACAAATTAACACAGATTGTATATCTTTAAAAATACACTCACACAATACAAAATAAAGAAAATCATAAACGTAATCGGTTAGAAAACATAAAATAGTAATACGACACATAACTCACTCACCCAACACATAAACTCGTAAACAAAAGAAAGCATATGTACTTTATACTTATTCCCTTGAATCCCGTTTCTAGATAACATTTAGCTAAAATATTGCTCCAAAGATATTGAGAAGATTATAAAAATTGGTACTGTCCAGTTAATAATCGTTTAGTCTACTGAAGATAGCTGAAATGAATGTAAAACTCATCATAACTATAATATAAATTTTAAGAAACAATTTAAGTATGTTAAAATAACTCGTTAAATAACAATTATGCATTAATCTTGCAGGTAGAATTGTTAAGCAGGATGACGTAAATATACATGAAATGACAGTTAATTCTCTCTAACACGACCACTCAAGAATCCACATGATTTTAATCTTGTATGAAATGTTATCGTCTTAGGGTGGCATTTTAAATAGCAAAGCTTATGCTCTCAGAAACATTGATTAGATTCAGAGGCGATTATCTTAGAGAACTGGTCGTCGGAAGAGCAGCCCACCAGCGGCCGAGCGGTAAAATCCCTGAACACTGGTAGTTCTGACGTGGAATCGATTCTAGGCGAACGGGATGGCTGCATACGCGTCTTCGAGTTTTATCCCAATGTGTATGAGCCAGTTTCCTTCGAAAGTCGTCCAAGAAGGTATCCCTTCCCTTAAGCAGATAGCCCTGGTATGCCTTACCAAAATGAGGTAAACCAAATCAAACGTCAGAGAAGGCCCACTATAATAATTCAGAAGTAGTTGAGACAGAAGGTAAAATCTTCAAGTGCATTTGAAAAGAGTTTTCAATCTAAAATATTTCTTATTCTATCTAATACTTATTGTGTGATATAATGTAAGGTTATTAACTAAGGAGCAAGGAAAAAGGGCGCTCAGAAGACTCCTAATCACATAATATTGCAGGGTACGAAACGATATGCGCGTTTTCTGTGTAGTGTACACAGAAAACACTAAAAATGAAAGCATATCAAATAAGTGAATATGTGTTTTAACAATAAATATACATTTAATATAAGTAATGAGGTCAAAGAAAGTGGTCGAAACGTCCTGCGTGAGTTATAATGCAGAACTTACATCTACGGTGCATGAAATTCCGAATATTCAGAAGGATTCCAGGCATGGCTAAAACTTCCCTACAGCTAGTGCTATATATGCAAACCGTCTCCAGCCGCTTTATCTATTGGGTATGTTCACACCAGTGTTTTCGTATGCCCCAGAAGAAGTAATCAAGGCACGGATCTCAAGAAAAATGTGTGAGATATCCAACGACAAGTAAGCTAAAAAAGTAAATGCTGATAAATGTTATTCTTTTAATAACGTTGAGCATCTGAAGTATTGTAACCAACTATAAGCGCAGGTATTAAAAAAAATTAAATTCCCACCTAAGAATTGAGCGCACGGAATTTTGTTGCAAAAAATGTAGAAAAATTGCAATTTTTTAAATATTTCTTCTATAATTTAAAATTATTTTTGATGCCTCTCTTTAAAATTACTGTCATTTTTAAGACACAATATTTTGTTGCAATTTTTTACTTATTGCTAAGTCCTTCTCGTATTATGATAAACAGAGAAGATATATGGCATACATAAAATTAAAAAAAAAATTATTCAATTCATATTTCGAAAACATAAAAAGTAAACTATCCGTGCTTATTTACAAAATCATTCTCACAAATATGTTGCTTAAACATACTATATACGGCCATACTGCCCAACCAGTATAATGGTTAGCGTCGATGACTGCCTTGCCGAAATATCCGGGTTCGAATCCCGGCATGGATGTTTGTAAATGTATAGTGTCTGTGCGGCATGGCGGCACTCTAACTATGCGGTGAGCCGAAAATCCTCTCGTGTGGTTTGGTGGAAGGGGAGAGGCGTACGAGACCCTCGCACCCCCCGGGGTGCTCTCCATCAAAATTGGGAGCGGAACTGAGCAAAATAGCACTATGACCTGAATAGTGCACAAAGCTGTTGCCAAAGGCAGGCGTAATCTAGCGCTCCTTGCCACGAGGAATTTCGTGAGGTTAGGCTGACTACGTCAGACAAGGGAGCATAAGCAGCATCAACAACAACATATACGATCAAGTCCATAAATAAAGGAATATGTCCTTTAGGATAGTTTCACCTCATCCATACGGTCAAATACAACATCTAAAGGCTAATTTGGCATTGCCATTGAAAATGCTTATATTGTAGCTTACTGCCGCTTTATCCGAGTGATATTGTTTTATGAAAACTTTGCATCTTGCACTATTTTGCTGGTCAAAAGGCTAGAGCCATCTTTTCTTCCTCCCTCTGAAGAAATTTCCTTCTCAATGTTATTTGTTGCTTTTTTTAGGTTTTTACTTGCTCATTCTTGGTCTGATTACTCCTCTAGTAACTCCTGCACATGTTCATTGTTCACTTCCAAGCCTAAGCCTAGAGAAAAAAATATGTTAGACAACCAAATTAATAATAAAAATAATAATGCAGGGTGTTTATAAAGTCTCGGACCCATTTTGATGTTTAATAACTCATAAAATAATGAAAATATAAACAAACTTATGGCATTTATTGATGGAATAACTTATATATTTTCCTTTTCAGGTTTAAATATCTTTACTTTTGTAAATATCGTCTGCGCGTGTGGTTAATTTCAGATAATTTAATTTACCTGTCTAAATATCTGTACTTTTCTAAATATCGCCTGCTTATTAATTGCATTTTTCTCTCTTTTATTTTTGGCATCTTTCTGGCATAGTTAATCGCCATAATGTGCGCATATGGGGATCTGAAAACTCCATGAATACCGTGAGGCACAAAGGGATTCCCCAAAGGTTAATGTGTGGTGTGGACTAATGCACTACCGAGTCATTGGGCCTTTTTTTTTTTTTTTTTTTTTTTTTACAGAAAAGACGGTCTCATCAGTCGTATACTTAGACATGTTGGAAAACTTCGTACTTCCACAACTAGAAGAGCTTCAGCCACATGTTGTTTTGCAACAAGATGGTGCACCACCTCATTGGGGTACTATCGTTCGTAGTTCTTTGAATGACAGTTTTACAGAAAGATGGATTAGGCGAGGAGGTCCAATTCCTTGGCCACCCAGATCACCTGATATAACGCCGCTGGACTTTTTCCTTTGGGGATTTGTAAAGGGCAACGTTTACAGGAGGAGAGTGTCGAACATTGATGACCTAAAGGCCAGAATTACAGCCGCAATAGCCTCTGTGGATGCCGACAGGCTTGCCGGTACCTGGCGTGAAATTGCTTGCGGGTACCTGGCGTAAAATTGCTTGCCGGTACCTGACTTAATATTCTCCGTGCGACGAAGGGGGCACACGTGGAAGTTCGTTGACAAGGGTCATGAAACTTTTTGGGTCTATCTAATCGTTTATGTTATTAATTTTAATCTATCTTTATTATTTTATGAGTTATTCAACATCAAAATGGATCCGAAACTTTATAAACACCCTGTATATAGGATTTGACCTTATTTTTCTAATAGTTATTTTTATTTTTGAACAAGCCTTTCCTGTACATTCTAAATTCACACTTACGCTTCCTTGCGAGAATGTGTTTTGAGGATTACGATTTATACAAATGAGGTAGAAACGAGCTGAAACTGGGTCACTTTCGAAGGAAAGCGTGCTCTGCCTTTAAGCCACGTTGTTTCTATTAGTTTAAGCTTGCTATTCTACGGTCGTACCTAATACGTACATGCTAGTATACGCAGGTGATCTTTAAGGGCCAACTTCGCGATTTGAGCTCTATGCAGCCTCGACTGATTCATTTTATTTAGGAATAGATTAGCTTATATTTTCTATTTTGAGTTAAAGCCCGATTGGTAGCTCTTCTTGTACTCCCAAAAAGGGCCATCTGTACATTCATTTTGAGTTGGAATAAAATGGTAATTTAACCCTTCTTTGGATTAGTTACTTACGTGAACTCAGCGGATAATCACTGCACAGTTCTTCAGTATTATAACTTACAAGGAACTCTATTTAAGCGAGGATATTACAAATAATAAGTATTCAGTGTTTCAAAGCCGTCGAAGCCTCTACTCGCAACACACTCTGACCATAATTTCCTCCATGGCAAATTCATGGTTCTGTGAGTTACTTGCTACCCAGCCCTTGTAAATGAATGCCCGTAATAGAGACTCCGTACGAGGTAATTTTTGTTCAAATAACTTGTGAACCGAATTGTTCGCAGTGAGAGACGTTTGTAATTTAAGGTTTCACTCTATATGCTTTATAAAAATTAATGCTAATCACTTAAATACTCTATATTTCAAGTAAAAACTAACTATAAACCGAATTGCTTTAATTTAAAACCCAACAATAATAATTGCTTTAATTTAAAACCCAACAACAAATAAAGTAGGAAAATTATGATTATTGATTTTAAAGGATTCTTTGAGCTGTTTAAATAGAAGCCGATTATATTTCTTATATATTAAACGGTGCTGATGTATAGTCTAAGATTATAATATTTTTAGGACAAAAGACTTGCGCAGATATAAATTGTGATCCAAACGCCGATTGCGTTGCTTGGAATCCTCAACAAGAACCTCACTGTCAGTGCAGACCTGGTTATGTAGGCAATGGACATACATGTTCACCTGGAGAGGAGGATGATTGCGGTGTCATAAACTACTGCGACATTCGTGCAGATTGCGTTTATGATGAAGAGACACAGACACGCAAATGTCAGTGCCGCCAAGGTTTTAGAGGTAAGAACATTTATTTCGTAACAAATACTTTTTCTTAAAGGTGTGAAAAAGTTCTCGAGTACTTAAATATTTTGGAAGCCATTAGAATAGTTTAAAAAGGACTTTGAGAATTCTGATTGGGATTCATTTTAAATGGCTTGAACTTTATTAACCTCGAAAAAGGTCCATTTCTCCCGGTGAAAATGAAGGACCAAAAGAACGGACATCTAGAAATAGTCCTTTCAAATACTACCACAGGGGATTATATGCGAGCATTAATATTATTTCTACGTAGAAAATTCTCAGATTGTTGCCACTCGGCAAAGCGTAATGTTTTTAATTAAGCTTTCAAATTGAATCATTCTGATACTAATTAAACTGAGCAAGGTAAAAGTGATATGTGTTGCCACTATGCGAAATAGAAGCTCTTTTATGCGTCCTAGCAGGAAGCTAGTTCTTAGCGCGTTGCCTTTCATCAAAACGTGAGATGTTTAATTTATCTTTCAAGTTTAATCAGATTATTCGTTAGTAATAATCTGAGCGATTTGAAATCAATGAATCCTGTGAGAAAAATAATATTATATCGTACTAAAGAATAAACGTGATTCTAACAGGAAGACCATGTTGTCCAAATTTTTTTTTCTTTTTTATTCACATCACATCTCAATCATAAACATATTAGAGTGAAATATATCCAAGTATAATTAATTCGGTAATCCGAGAAAAATATTAAAGAATAAACTAATCTAGTAAGCAAAAAATATCGGTTACATTACCTGCAATCCAAGTGTTCGAGAATTTTCCTGAGAATCGAATTGTCGTAGAATCGAAATATGGAAAAAAATTGGCATGTCATTTCAGAAAAAGTCCGATTTTGTGTATGCTCATATTAGAACAATGCTATATATAAATCTAATACGTATCCTAAATCACGCTTTTGAGACATGAAAAACGCAATTTTAATTTCGTCAATCGGACCAGTAGACTGGGAGATACAGAACTGTCCCATTCCCCCCCCCGTACAAGAACATCTTCCCACGAATCGCTAAATTCGTAAATTAATAAGAAATATTTTGTCTTCTTTCAACAATTTAAAAACAGCAGCGCGTGAATGCAGTGGAAGAAAAGGCATCGTGAATTTAAGTAGGTTGATCACACCCCTGTAGCACAGATTTTAGTTCAACCGATTATTATCTGTTTTCTAAACTGAAATCTGATTTAATGACGATTAATTTAATGAGATTAATTGACGATGACGTAGCAATAATAGTAGTTATGAAACATTTAGAGAACTCTTAGAGGCCTGTAGCCGCTCATTAAAAGATATGAAGAAAAATTAGATTAATTTAAAATATAATTAGGAGATTAATGGATCTACATACTTAACCACCTAGCTTAGCTTGTGAACAGAAAAACAGAATTTTCTTTATCTGAGGATCTGAGCCTAATTGTAATTTTTCAGGTGATGGAATCGTGTGTGTCGAGGATTCGTGCGATGTGGCTGATAATTGCAGCCCTCATGGTAGTTGCCTTTATGATGCCGAAGGTGAAGCATACTACTGTGCTTGCTTGCCTGGATACTCTGGCGATGGTTATTATTGTCTGCCAGAATCTTCTTTCTCCAGTTGTGATGTCATCAATAACTGTCACCCTTTGGCTCAGTGTGTCTACGATTCCCAGTCTCAAAGGTACGTATAATAAATATAACAATGTCAAGAACCCATGAATTATGCCTGAAATAATAAACATGAGTAAAATTATTTCTTAATTTACTTCTTGTTGATTAGGTATCACTGCCGTTGTAATGCTGGTTATAAAGGAGACGGTCAGACTTGCACGAAGATCGAGGATGTATCCTGTGACCAAGTGAACTCATGTTCACTGCATGCTCTCTGCGTCAGAGATGAATTCAGTGGAAAATATGTCTGTCGTTGCAGTGAAGTAATGTGTACTTTTCGCATTCTATCTATTCAGATATAGAAAACATATATATATTAATACTAAGTAGAATATCAGAATCGATTAGTAAGATAATTCCCTGTTAAAACAGTCACCACAAGCGTTGTTTTCTCCTTAATAATTTCTTTTTCTATTTAAAGATTAAGTTAATAATGGCTAACATAGGAATTCTCAACCTTGGGCAATTCCCCTCATGGATGAATTTTAAAATTTTACAGGGGAATGCAATCAGCATTTTTTAAGGTGTTCAGTATTTAGTGTATGATTATAAAAAAATTACTTTTATTCAAGTTTTAGTATTTATCAGTATTTTCTATACTTTTTATTGTTTAATTCATAAAGTATATTAAAATATTATCTAAATAAATGCGTACGTAATTTTTCAAGTTTTGGAAAGGTTTAGGAGAACTAGCCATGGTGAAAGAACTGCATGGGGCAAGGAAGGTTGGGAATCTTGAGCCAGCGTTTTATAGCGCATAATAATAATAATGAAGAATATGAAAGAATGAACATCACTAAGAAACCACTGCTTATTTTCCAGTTGATGTGAAGTTAAAATTTGGGGTATTTTAAAAAGAATAGTATTAACGAAAAAACTTGATCTGAGCGTGAAAATAAAATACTTTGCGCTTTATAAACATCACAAGGAATTACCACTTCTTTTCTTACTGATGATGAGCTAAAAAAACTGAACATCTTGGGAAAAAAAGAAGTACTGAATTGATACTATCACTTGAATAACATCGTAATCAGAACACTGAAAATCAAATGTGTAACATGCTAAAAAATCTGGCGATTAAGTTCGCCAGATTTGTCTAATAATCTTCCAATTAAGAAAGTGAGAGAGGTGGCTGCTTTAGCAAGGAAGTACTCTTTTCAACCAAAGCAAAAAATTCTTTACCCTGAAATTTTTGTAAGAATCCGTTGTGCGCAAAACATACATACGGTGTTTGTATTCCACGAATATGACTATTTTTCTCAGTGTTTCTATGTGGAAAAAGTAAAATTTTTACTTTTCAGATTTAATCATTTCTAGCACATAAAGAAAATTAGTGACCTGAAAGCATTGAACGCACTTCTTAATTGCATAAAACTTTACTTTACTTTTAATAATATATCTTAAATGATACAAATTAAATTACAGTATGGTTATTACAGAAGGATGCTTCTAACGCCGTATGTTACGTTCCTCTATCCAATCTCTCTCTTTTTTAAAAAAATTTATTTATTTTTATTGATTCAACAAAATAGTTATCAGAATTATAAAAAAGAGAAACGGTTTTAAATGATTTTTAATATTTCCTTTTTCAGCCTTTTATGTTCATTTATTGTTTACAGTTAATATGCATGTTATTTAACTTATTATCTGAAATTTTACGTTTTACAATTATGTATTTTTATAATAATTAAAATAAGTAAATAAAACGAAATAAAATCGGAAAGTGTTCAGATTTAACGATCGCCCAAAAGAATTTTCTTTTTAAATTTAATATGGTTTAAGTAGAGATTATCGATAGACATGGCCCAGGTGGAACAGCGAAACATAGTATAGTAGTAGAATATGCATTTAGACAAACATGGGAAAATAATATATCTTCTGCATATTTAAAAAGTTAAAAAATATGTAATGTAATCCCTTAGAAATATTGAATCTTTTTAAGTAGATATATCATGAATTAAATGCGTTTTTATTTTATAGAGTCATTAAAATTTTTCAACGTCAGAAAACTGAAAAAAAAATTTTTTAACCAATCAGATTAAAAATTAAAAACATAATGTTCTTAACTGCGTCTATTGCTTTTAAATAGTTTTGTTTATTAATTAATAAAAGACAAGTTAAATGCGAAAGAATAATATGTTACGTTTTTACGAATGGCAAGAAACTCAAATGAAAAGTGAAACAACTCATTAAAGTGAAACAGCACAGAATCATGTTTGGAGATTAATAGCCCGTTTGGTTTAATAACAATCGGTATTCTAAATGTTGATTTTTGAAAAGTGTACTTAATGAATTTTAAATTCCAAAATTTAGCCTGTATATATGATAAAGACTTGTGCTTTAATATCTTCCTTCAATGAAATGAATTTTTTGCATCATGGATACCAAGGTCAAATCTATCTCTGTTCAATGGTTCTGTAAGCTAGTATACTGGCACATTCAAATTTTCAGTACCTTGGAAACAAACATAAAAATCTTCTTTTAAATGTTGCAAGCGGCTTGCATATTAGAATATATCCTATTGAGAAAGTTTTGTATTCTTCCCTTTTTGTGTGTGTGTGTGTGTGTGTGTGTGTGTGTGCTTTCTTGGGTTTCTGTTTCACTTTTTTACAGGGAACATTTATATAAAAAATCTGATGTGTACACCACATGACTTCCTGTACGGAATATTAAATTATACGCATTTTTTTTAAACTTATTGGATTTAAACTTATTGGATTGAATTAAATCTTCTTCGTCGAATAGCGCATAAACCACAATAGAATAAATGCACTCTTTAAAATTCAATATATTTTTTTACCATAGCGACACTCTAGCGCTAGGTTCACTTAGCAGCGTTAAATTTCGTTCATATTGTAACTCAGAATGCACAAAATTTATATCATATTGAAGAAATTATCCTAATCGTTTGCCCACATGTTTTATTCAAATACTTATAATAAATCTAGAAACGTTGTATAAAAGAAATTAAGCAAACAACAGCAACAACAAGAACATAGTTTTCAACAGACGATTCAGTATTTCTCATTCAATTAATTCAGTTCTCACTTCGCGACAAGGCAAAAATACATTAAAACTCAAGATGTCCGTATTGAAAATTATGAAGTAAATCTGAAACACTTATTTACTCGAAAAAAATTCCAGAAAGGATTAAGCAGGATTTAATTCGCAATAATAAATAAGGGCGTTATCTTTGTTGTTGCGAAGCTTAGTCTCTCTAGATTGGCAACAAATCTAGAGAGATTAAGCTTCACAACAACAAAGACAACATTTGCAACAACATTCTGCTGTTTCAAATGTAAACAAATATGTCCGCCATGTTATATTTAAAAATTAGACTTAAACGCACTTAAACAGCTTTTAAATTGTTGATAATTCTACAAATATTGCTTGCAGATTTCCTAAAGGCATAAAAACCTTAACCGGAAGATAAGAACATAATTTAGTCATTTTTAAAGCAAAAAATGCACAATGCGCAAACATATAAGAGTAAAGAAACTGAGATCACTGATCAGGATAACAAAGTGAATATATATATACACATATATTTATATACTTTCGGTGCGGCCGATTGCCACCAAAATACGAGGTGCACATCTGCATGTTATAGCAATCCTATATACAAAATTTCAACGTTCTGAGGCTACTCGTTTTTGAGTTATGCGAGATATATACGTACGTACGTACAGACACCTCTTCAGAATTCATTTTAAAGCAATTTTATAATTTTTTTTGGGCGAAAAGGGTCTTTTAATCTGTCCTTGCGTACAGATGTCACGCAAAAACATTGTTAAATTTTATTCGATAGCGGTCAAAATGGATATTTTCGTTGAAATATGCTGCCTGAAACTTTTCGCGATTACAATACTTCCTTTTTACTTCGTACAAGGAAGTAAAAAAAATATCTATTTTAAAAAAGCGTTATTAATTTTTAAAACATATTAAATAGTTTTCGTGTGTTTTTTGTTTTCTTATATTTATTTTATCGAATTTTTTCTCCGTACATGACGTACCTTTAACATTCAAGACACATGGAAAAAGTTTTGTCAAGAACCCCGTAAAGAGGCCTGTGGCGAACTGCAGACTGCAAACAGGTCACGATTGCGAAGCTCATCATCTTAATAAAATTGGCATCCTTCCATCTAGTATATTCCAAATTTGCAATTCGGGCATCATAAAGGCAAAACATCTTCGTATATACCCAGAACTAGATAGCCTTAGAAACGTGGTGAAATAAGTAAACTATATTGGAATGCCAGAGCTTTCATGAACTTCTTTGTAAAGACTACATCTCTTACGTTCCTTTCTTTTTTATTTAAATTTTTAATTTTTAACTTTAACGGTTCCTATGATCATTTATTCTGATTCTTACTTTATAAAAATTTGTTATTTTTTATTATTTATTATTCTTCTTGTGTGATACTTGAGCTGTTTTATATGTTTGCATTGATCTTTTCAATAAAGCCGTGTGTAACAACATGACGTACCTTATATCGATAAACAATTTTGCAGTATTAATAAAATGTCAGTCAATAAAATTCCGGTACTATCGACCTCTTAATCATCAGTGACTTCCTTTAAAATTTCCTGGATTTCTCAGGGGGTCAGCATCGACCCGGCTCGAATCCCCTGGACTGCTTGCAAGGAACCGATCTTGTGCCAAAGTGAGTATGAAAACACCTTTGTGTCGCCAAAGAACTCTTCCTTTCTTCAAAAACATTAAGTTCTAATCACATTATGTTTCGGCTACGCGGGACTGGACGTCGGAAAAGAATTCTCGGAACCCGCACAGTTCCAGGAATCTGACGTAGCTAGGTTGCCATTTTCACTTACTACAAAGACTTGAACGGCAAACAGTAATCGATTATCGTTCAGATTGGGATCACGTGATTCTTTCGTCTGATTGGTTGACTCTGTCCTGGATAGAGCTCCAGCCGAGACATTTTCGGTTAGATTTGGAAAAATCCCACGTAGCACCAACATCGTTTCCGTGGCTAGACGGGACTTCGCTTCCAGTGGGGCTCTTTTTGCTAGAAATCCACCCTTTTAAACCAGTGCTACCAGAATCTCATTTATCAGAAATATTCCGTCTAGCAGGGACTGTCGCTAGAAGTGATAACAGCATTACAACGTTCATCTTTTGTTCAACACTCAACTTGTCGTTGCCCGCTATTTTGCAAATACCTATTTCGCGATTGTTCGATTCTTACTCTTCCTGATATCTACCAAATTTTCAAGGAACTAAAGCACCTGAATGCTTGTTTTTAGCATTCAGTGTATAACATTAAAAATTTTATGGGATGACAGAATGGTGATATTTCATACACCGCCCCGGCATATGGATATGTGGATGAGCGCTCTTTTATATTATTTATATATTTTTTCCTTGCAGGGTTATGAAGGCGATGGCTTTACCTGCAATCCTATCGACGAATGCAATACTGCTGACAACTGCGATGCCAACGCCCAGTGCCTGTATGACTCGGAAAGCCAACGTTATCGCTGCCAGTGTCTACCTGGATTCAAGGGTACTGGTGAAAAAGGTGGATGTGCTTTGGATGCAGACGTGTCATGTAACATCCGCAACACGTGCCACGAGAGTGCAACCTGTGTGTATGATGCGGTGGATTTGAAGTATAGATGTCAATGTAACCCTGGCTATAACGGAGATGGACACAGATGTGAAAAATCTGTTGTGCCTTGCAATGTCATCAATAGCTGCCACATAAGAGCGGAGTGTTTATATGACCCTACATCGAGGGGTTACAGGTAAACTCTGTCATTTATTTAATTTCTTAATTTTTAAATATAACACAGAACTTTATTATATCTAATCGGTGAAAAATCAAACAAGTTACATATTTTTTTTTTTCAATAGTCTCTAACTTAAAGTGGGAATGAACTAGATTGGAGAGGATTATTTGATTTGGCGGAAATACCTAAAAGCTAATAAGCCTAAAGCATTTACCAGGATAATATATGGTTTAATAACGGATATAATACGGACATAATATGGTTTCTGAATTAGCTTGTATTGCAGTAACGACATATAAATCATTTATTAGAATTAATTATTATAAATTCTTTCTTATCTGGTCTCTCTTTAATTGACTATGTTTCCATCAGACTTTTTTTTTCACAAATCAAATTTTCGTTTTTAATTCTGTCGAAAAGTACACTTCAGTTACTGGTTTATCTGTCCCTTTTGCCTTGGCTTGATTCTGTTTATTTATTTATGGCAAAGCACTTGAGGGCAATCTGCCTAAGGGAAGCGATGTCTTCGTGGAGGACTTTTTGAGGGAAACTGTCTCGTATACACGAGTAGCCAGAGATAGCCTCGTATTATTTTTCTATCGATCAGTTTCATGTACATTACCTTTTTTTTTTCGTTAGTTGTTATTGTATTTCTTAGTTATATTAAGTTGAACTTGAGCGTTTTTTAACTATTGAAATGAAATTAAAAAATTTAGAACAGATTGAAATCTGTTATTCGCATATGCATTGAACTGAATGTTAAGAATAGCACAGTGAATGATTTTCAGAGAAACCAGAAGTTCCTTCAGAATTTTAGTTAGCGAACAGAATCAGAATATAAAAAGGAACACTATGAAAAAGAAAGGTGAATAAATAATTAACAGTGTTAATTGTGGATTTACATCATGGAAAAATACAAAATAAAACTCACTCTGAATAGGTATATTTCGAAGGAAAAGGCAACGCGAGTAAAAGTGAAGTTATATTGCTTTAAAGCAAAATATTAAAATAATATAAATAAATACTGCCACCCAAACAGCCGCACCGAAGGACTCGGGTTCGAGAAAGCTTGGATGTAATTTGTCGGTCCCTTTACATGAGGCAATGTGTTTACAGGAGGCTTCTTTATTATGGAGGCAACGGTGGTCCACCTATTAGATTGCCTCCATGAAAAGAGACCACCGTTTCCAGCATTAGTAGTGGCCAATGCCTGTAAACGTCTAGAGCCTGCCATTAGAACAAAAAAAAAAAAAAATGAATAAATAAATAGATGTGATTACAGTCTAAAGAAATTACGCCATGTTAAAGAAAGAGAAAAATTACTCTTGGAGATCATATTAAAAAAGTGTCTGATGTGCACACCACGTGACCTCCTTGGTCTACTAAATTACACATATTGTTGCGTTTTTTTTTTTTTTTCCTTCTTTACGTACGGTACGAACGGTACGAGTTCGTGGATTTGAAGTAAATAACAACGACAGCACTCGATGAAGTAATCAGTAGAAGGCTCATCTCCCGACCCACCTAACTAAACAAGTTGGTCTCATGGACATAACAGGCCACGCCCATTTCAACAAAGGAACGTAATTGAAACATAAATTACCTAAGTGAAAATAATGTGTTAATAATAATTTTTAACATAAAAGTGAAGAAGAACAAATACAAACATTTAGACAAGAGCAGACACCAAAGACAAAGAAAAAGCACTTCATGAACTATCAAAACATAATTTATTGGCCGGTATTATTCAAGTCAGCTCCAAAAATTACGTTTACAAGTCGTCGAAGATCTACTATAAGCACGCTGAAGCAATTAGCTACATAGCCTCCAAACTATCAGGCTATAACGTTGGAAACAGCTTCACGGCAAAGCACCAGAGTACAGCTCCCGACTCTCCTGTCGTTCTCGGAGCTCTACGTACTCTGGAGACTCTCCACGCTACAACTCGCGATGTACTCGCCGATACACTAGTGTACAGCTCCCGACTCCTCGGTTCAGTCGTTCCCGGAGCTCAACACACTCTAAGATCAAATTCGACAATGTACTAACCCGCGATACTCTAAGAGACACTCTTGATGCACTCGGCACTCACTGATTGACTATCAACTCGATGGACTCCGCACGGACTAACTCTCCCGCGTACCAGCAGGGTTTATATAACTTTTGGCTTGTGTTCGAGAACATTCTGGGCTAAACCAGTAAGAATTCATTCCAGAAGGTTCTCCATCCGTCTATCCCATATCACCAATTTTGACGCCAAATGGGCGATTTCTCGCCAAAAGTGGCAACCCTGCCGTTTTCGGACAACCCTAAACCTGCTTTGCGGGGAAGCTATCTCACCACGCCTGACATTTCGTAACAATACATTTACTGCACTTCATTTAACTTATTTTTCCGAATTTCATTAGAGATTTAATCATTTAGAGAATTAATAAATTCAATTCTCGCTTCGCGACAAGGCAAAAATACACAAAAACTCAATCTCAAATTAAAAATTGTAAAATGCAGAAAAACCTAAAACATCAAATACAGTTAAAAACAGTTAAATATAACAATATTTACAGTTAAAATGAGAGTCTCTACTCCAGAATAAACAATGCAGCCAGAAGGGCTGGAAGACACAATTTTAGGTCTTAAATTCAGAAAGTTAACTTTTGGACACACTGGGCAAAAAGACACTGATGTTGGTGCACCATTTGACTTAAATCACTATGCTACGTAGAGTTTCAAATGTAAACAACGGGCGGCACCTTTAGACCTAGTGACACTTTTAAATTGCTGATAATCCTACAAATATTGCATACAGGTTAATCAAAAAGCTAAAACCCTGAACGGTTTTTTGAACAATTGAAAATTTGTTCTAATGGCAGGCTCTAGACGTTTAAGAAGAACAGCATAATTCAATCACTTTCACAGCAAAAAAAATTCACAATATGCCAACCTAAAAGAATAAAACCTGAACTCACAGAGATAGGTAACAGAGTGTCAATATATATATGTATAGTTATATGTGTTTGGTGCGGCCGAAAAAAAGAAGGTGCACAACTACATGTTAGAGCATTCCCATGTACAATATTTCAATGTTCTACCACTACTCGTTTTAGAGTTATGAGAGATACATACATACATAGTACGTAAGTACGTACAGACGTTACGGGGGGGGGAACTTCTGAATCCATTTTGGGAAAAATAATCTTTCATTCTGTTCCTACGTACAGGTGTCACTCAAAAACATCGTTCAAATGGATTCGAGAGCGGTCAAAATGGATATATTCGTTGAAATATGATACCCGAAATTTTTCGCAATAAGAATACTTCCTTTACTTCGTACAAGGACGTAATAAGCTACTGAAGTTCCTTTTATAAAACATTAATAAAGTGTCTCTCTTTTTAGAAATATATCAAGCCAGAAACTTTTATATTTATTTATATATATATATTATATATATATATATATAATATATATATATATATATATATTAAATGACTAAAATATTAGATCATACTATTAATTTGATCGATCTTATGGCTTCGCTCCTGTATTTAGGTAATTCTGAGGTGTAACAGTGTCATGATAATTATACTCTCAAAGAAAGACATTGATTTTTGATTTTTAATCTGTTTATCGTAAGCACATAAAGTCGATACTCTTCAGTTACTTTTTTAAAGAATTACTGATTGCTTCGCAGATAAGGATTTCGTCTTTTAATTTAAGCAAAATTTGTATATTGTAATTGGTTTGAGAATATTTGGCATCTGTTAAGGAAAAAATTTAAGAACCTTAAAAATTATGAATGAGTTAAAGTATGAATAAATAAATATTACCATTTTAAGAAGATATACATTTCTTTTTATTCATACTGGAAGGGTAACCACAGACTTACTCATTCCTATATTCAGGAATGTTGTTTAGATTGTGGCAAGCAACGGAAACTAGCGTCTACATTCCAAAACGGCAGCCTATGAGAGAGGCAATTCTATTATTTTCATCGGAGAGTAGGGAAGTTAGAATGGTTTTCTGAGGAACGCCAACAGCAGTGCACGATGTTTGCTTACATTAGGAAGTTCAGAAAATTGCAAAGGTGGATTGCCTTAGTTTTTGCGGTTACTTTCAGGGAAATATTAGGCAGTTTTTATTGGTTTGCTGATAGAGGGCGAATAGATAATTTACCTTTATAAATCCGCGTTTATCTATTTAAACTTCAGAAGATTTATGATGAAGTGAATATATTCAACACAACAGAACGCAAGCTTAAGACTTGTAAATCTTTTAAAAAACAACACATCGATAATTAAAAATATTATTTATAGTTCATCATTAAAAACTTTTTATAAATGCATAGTTATCATATAATTAACAATTCATCCATGAATTATCTCATTATTTATTATAATTAGAAGAGATGATATTTTTACAGTAATGTTTAAAAATTGCTGTTGTCTTTTAAAAGATTTACAAGTCTTACGATTGTGTTCTGTTGTGTTAAATATATTCTCTTCATCTTAAATCTTCTGAAGTTTAAATAGATAAACGCGGATTATAAAGGTAAATTGCCTATTTACCCTCTATCAGCAAACCGAAAAAACTGCCCTAATATTTCCCTGTAAGTAATCGTAGAAAACTAAGGCCATCCACCTTAGCAATTTTTTGAACTTCCAAATGTAAACAAACATCTAGTCCAATGACGTTGTGTTCCTCAGAAAACCATTCTAACTCCTCTACTCCCCGATGAAAATAATAGAATCGCCTCTCTCATAGGCTGCCGTTTTGGGATGTAGACGCTAGTGCAACACTATTCTAGATTTTTAATGCTAGATTTCTAAAAACTGATTCGTGTCGCCATCTATCGGACTGATTCAGGAATGTTGTTTAGATTGTGGCAAGCAACGGAATGCTACATTTCTAAAACTGATTCATGTTCGTGTCGTCATCTATCGGACTGTTCCGAAACCATGGTCCATATCGAAAATTTTTTCTTTCGGTTATGATAATATGAAATATTTTTTTTCTTATT